AAGGAGATTGGACACAGAGAAGGATTCGAAAATTGTTGCCAATGCAAATAGTTTAAGGAATTCAAGGCTACAGGTCTGTGAAGATACTTAGGAGGTCGTCAGAAAAACATCACGCAGATTAGTTCACAGCGAGGTTCGTATAAATATTCCGATCGTTGATACATATCGTGTCATTCGCGGGTTTGATTTCATTCAGATGTGAAACGCTTTTTAAAAAGAAACAAATCCCTATTGCTATTTTTATTTATCAATATCAGCCGCAACAATACCAGAGAATCCAGAGTACTTTACACGCGAATATTCCTCATTTTTGTTTTTGATAGATCCTGGAAGGATCCATCGACGTCTTCATAAGAGCAGAGGGCAAGGACGATCTACGAGAAAAATTTGTGGCGAGTTTATCCATTTACCAGAAGCGAATCAAGCAGAGAGCCGTGAACATTGAAAATGTTTTCATGTGATTAACGCCTTGCTGTTTCTCGAAAGGTCACGTTAACAGCGAGTCTAATATATCGACACACGACATCCACCATTAGGAGCGATCAGCTTTCGTATTTAGAATCTATAAAAGATATTGCCTCCATAGCAAAACGAGGCTTATTGACGGATTATCGTGACTGACGACAGTATATTTTCATATTGGACCAGCATCCGGTTAGTGTCTCGCAAAGATCAAACTTGTGTATGTATTTATAGCCGCACGCATCGAAAACCAGTGACAAAAGGATCGATCCTGCTTTGAACACGGAAGGAGTCAGCAATGGGGTTCGACATCGAAAGATTCTCAGGGAAAGTAAATGAGGGCCTCTTATGTTCGATTTGCCGGGATGTATTGGAAGATCCATTGCAAGCGCCTTGCGAACACGCTTTCTGTTCGTCTTGTATCCACGCTTGGCTCACGCATTACAACACCTGCCCGGAAGATCGATTACCACTGTGGCCGAGCGACTTGAAGCCCATTTTCAGATACATGAAAAACGACTTAGACGCGTTAAAAATACGCTGCGACAATGAGTCTCGCGGTTGCAAGGCGCTGGTGCGACTGGACGCGCTCAAAACCCATTTAAAGGAGGACTGCGGTTTCGTGTTGGTTTCGTGTTCAAACGAGGGATGCCAAGAGCAATTCACCAGACGTGAGCTGGAAGGGCATTCAAAAACATGCAAATTCCAAACTGCCGAGTGTGCTAAAGGCTGTGGGTTGAAAGTGAGCAAGAACGAGGAATCGGAGCATAATTGTATAGCAGAGCTGCGCAAAGCACTGCTTAAAAATCAACAAGAAAACGAAGCGAAAATCCGGGAGCTCAAACAGGAAATGGAATCTCGACTAGATTCGCACCGAGTTCACATGGTCTACAAGGAAGCTACTTTGCAAAATCAAATCGAGAGTTTGAACTCGCAAGTGGCCGAGCTGCTCCGTGAAACAAAATCTCTTAAAGCGCAAAAAAGAGAAGAATTGCAGAGCGATGATCCAGAAAGAAAGGAGATCCTTGAATGGTTGAGAAGCTTAAAATACCAAGATGAGATCGCTGAGAGGTACTGTAGCAACTGCAACAAGCGATACTTGTACGTGAGGAAAGATACACTTCACTGTTTAAACGACAAGGTAAAGTACTTTCTAAGTTTTTTTTTAATTTTACCGGAATGCTAAGCTAGCGCCACCGAGAAACTAGACTGCACCAAAAGATTAAAAAAAAAAAAAATATTTTAATACTGTGCACATGATCTTGTCTACCACTTGTTTCAATCGGTTTGAAAACGTACAATTAACTGCTAACAACAAAGATCAATTATTCAATATGCTAGATTCAAACATATAATTGGGAGCTTCAATACCAGGTTTTAATAGACTAGGACATTTTGAGCAGCTCACGTCAACCGCAAGTGGACTTTCTGCATTCTTTTAAAGCAGTGGCTGCTGTGCACAAATTTTCGGGAAAATTGTCTCTGCAAGAGTATGAAACTTAGCAATACAAATTTGATAGCGTCAAGGCATATTAGAAGGGAAAAAGCCTCATTTCTGGTTGACGTGCGAAACGCCTTTCTTCAAACTCCTTGCTTTGCGTGAAGTTGGTTGGCAGCGCAGAATCTCTTCGCTTTTGTTTTGAACTTTCACTTCCGGTTTCATGACGCTACCTTTTCGTCGTCCTGATCAACTGTTAGTGATACTTTATGATTGTGATGCCCCTGTGTGGTCACGCGTGAAAAAGCGTGATTCAGACAGTTTGATCTCAGGTTCACGACATCAAAAACACTTCTAAAAATCCGCTCTCCACAAAATGCAGATTATTTCGTCGTTTCAAGTCAAGACGTCGTAGAGTTTGAGTGGGATCATAGCATTTAAATGCCTTTGCCCCGATTATAAATTCTTGGGAAAAAGATTGCGTGCCACAAATGTTTTCGTGCCGAAATCGCTTTTTATTCAAAAGACCGTCCAACCTCTCTTTGTTTAGTTCAAGATAAGGTTTAATAGACGCAATTACGATCAATTAGCGGAATAACCAATAAGCGAAAGGGAGCTTGTGATAAAAATAGTCCTTACGCGGATGAATTCCATGCAATTCTTTAATTAGAGACTCATAACAACCAAAAGCCTTCAAGGGTACAAAACTGAAACGACGACAGAACAGTCTGACGACACTACCTGACTTCAAAATTGTCAATATAGTGACTTGCTGGATGGAACAAATAGAAGGAAAATTTACAGTCAAAAGGCAGAGGCGTAGCCTGCTTTTCTACTAGTTGTAGGCCTGGCTGACTTTCATTTCAACATATCCCAAAAAATGCACGCATGACTAGTACGCACTGACCTCACCAACACTTTGAACTCTTATACTTTATAGCTCAACCCAAACAACGCATAGTTTATTACAAGCGATAGAGTGATCAAACCGAAATTTTGCGGGCCCGGGCCTACAGGTATATACGCTGGCTACGCCCGTAAAAGGTGCGGAAAAGGCAACGGTTATCACACGATATAGCCCCACCTCCTCCTACTATAGCACACAAAGGAGAAATAATTTGAAGAACCTTTCTGTGATGGATGATTAAAGCACCAAAGTCTAACCAAACACTTTTCCCAGGAGTATATTGTGAGAAGTATCTTTTTCAGTCGGTCGAGTCGGAACCGTTGCAGAACAGGAGAGCTAATAAACAAGCCCTTGTAACATGCTCGCTAGCACGACATTCTTGGGGGGACTGCTGTTAGCCTGTACCAGAAGCATCTAACCCCGCTTCTGCCTGTACACAGACGTTGTTTTCTTTTCTTTTCCCTTGCACTTGCAGTGAATCATGGATAATACAAAGACTCCATGAATTAATGAATTCTCCCGCTGTTTTTATTTTTATACGCGCGCGCGCTCGACGATCTTTAAAGAGACAATAGAGGGTCTCTGAAGAGGCTAGACTTCTGGCAGACTATAATAAATAGTAATAATAATAATAATAATAAACCTTTATTTATATAGCGCTAGCTATTTCCAAAACCTCAATAGCGCTTTACATAATTCATAAGAAAGAAAAATAATGAATTTAAAACTTACATCGAACGATAATAAAAAGAGTACCCGACAAGTTACTTAAAAATTCTAAGCTGCTAAACACTAAACACTAAATCCCTGAAAATTAAAACGATAACATCTAAAAGATGTATGATTAGATACTTTAAATATTACACTGGCTAAAAAACCTAGTTCCCGAAAAGGTAAGTCTTAATGTAATAATACGCTATCGGACTACCTCGGCAGGAAACGAAATTGTTAAAAACAGTTTTTTCCTTTGTGCAGGTGAATCTAAGCTGTTCATCTCCCACGGAAGAAGACGCAATCCTCAGTCACATGCGAGGATTCCGCGCAACCAAACCCCGGAGCTGGTGCCCAAGTCCAGTGGGAACAAGTGAAGGTTCACCTCTGCCTCGTTCTCAAAGCGAAGAGTCCTCGCTGAACAGAGCCGTGTTAGAGTCATGGCGACGAACTCCTGATGTGTCGACATCGCCTTGTTCAAATTGAACTTGCAACAGTCTACAACGATCGGCGTTTTGAACAGCCAACAAACTGATTGCGTTAATAGCAGCATATGAAATTACGATTTGTAGCCGAGCTGTGGAAAGTTAGCCTGTGTAGAGCCGCCCCCTTCTCTCAAACAAAGGCAGAGAGAGACTCTCTCTCCCCGATTTTGGTTGAGGGGAGGGGCGAAACAACTAAAACCAAGACAGAACCTTGTTATTTTCTTTAAAGATACGCGAATATATTGTTAAGCTTGTTGATCCCACGGTCAATCTGTCAACTTTCTTTTTACTGTGATATTTTCTGATTATACCATAAACTTAAGCAGCCGCTTTTAACTTTTAAAAAGAAGGTAAAAATTTTAAACAAAGAAACAAATGAGTAGAGTTGACGAGATAATAAATTCAAAGACTGGTCCTTAGTTGCAAATTTCATATTTTTAAAATGGTGTAGGAGTACAATTGAGACCCAGAATATGTTGGGACTTTTAAATTACTCCAACAATGCACATTCTTTCTAACTTTTTTTCGAACTCGTCGCTGACAGAAAATAAACCTTAACATAACATAACAGTCTTGCTTTTTATTGCTATTGTTTTGTCGCTCTTCTTCAATTGTCAACGGAAAAAAGCGTTCTTACAATGTGTCAGCGAACCATTCAGAATAGCTTCACGAAAGACGCTCCATGAGCGAAGGCGAACGGAGCATAGCCTGGTTCAGAAGTTCAGATTGTTGAAACCGCGCAAAAAGATGTCCGGAAAATTGGCGCGCGGAGGGGGGGTGGGAATGGGAGTGAGGGTTCTCTCCTCTCGCCATTATTTTTTTCCGCTCCATGACTTCGCGCAGCACTCTTCGCTCCGTACTATCTGAACGCCTGAAAGAGGTTAAACAGGACATTTCGTGCAAAGTGCGGAGGGCCAGATGAGGGGAGGGAAATGTCCCGTTCGCCTCGCTTGGTTCAAAAAGCACCTGCCATGTAGGCTATAATTATTCAGAATGACTACCGCGTAAATGACCTCATATGCCTGCCTGCGTAACCTCGCCCTGTACCGGGACGGTATCCACCAACATTGGGGGGAGGCATAAACCTAGAAATAAAAAGTTCGAAAGGGCCACGGTTTTAGTCATTCATTCCTTGATTTTGTTAAGTTCTGGTGCCAGTTTAATACGCCATTTCCGAGTTCATCCGGGTCTCTGTATCAAAACGAGGTTAAGTGCTCAGCCTTTGATATGGAAATGATTTTTCATTCTTATGCAAATAAACCTCATTTTCACAAGAAAGGCTGTGCTCTTGGCCTCATTTTGAAAGTGAAGGTTTTTGGAACTCGTAAGGGGCCTATTGCATGGGCTGCTAAAAATAACCAGGAGCCTGACTTAACCTACAGCTCTCTCTTATCTCCAATAGGCAACCTCTGATATATTTTCAAACATAAAATTCATACTCGACTCCGAGGCTCGGGGGAATAAAGCAAAAGAAATCGCTTTGAGGTTCAGGGATGAATAATCTATTTCCTTTGTTCTATTCGCCACTTTAAAAACAATAAGGCAACTTGAGCGTCCCGCAATTGTCTCTGGGATCGTAACTGGGGACGCGCCAGTCAGCTATTGGCCAAATTTTTCCCTGTCCCGGACAACAATCCCAGAAGCATTTGCTAAAGTTAACTCGGCCCAGTTCCCTCTCGTTTCTAAAGTAACGAATTTCCACAAGCCTCGAAGCCAAGAATAATTTAATATATCACATGGCAGTAGATCACGTATGAAATGAACTGTCAAATACCGCGGATGAGAGGACGAGAGTAAATGTTACGCGAAATCTACTGACCTGGAGTCGTCTTTGGATTTAGGTGCGTCCCAGTATCCTCGCATCTGTGGTCGATTGTAGTCTCTCATTCCTCCTCCTCCACCACCTCCGCCTGTCATTTAAACATTGAAAATAACTACCAAGAGAATCACGGCGCATAACAAGTCAGAACGGTTCTTAAAAAGTTAAACAAAATAAAACAGGCAAAATACACTCGAACCTCTACGGTCAGCTCTCCACAACATTCCCATTTTATTGTCCCGACGGATACAGTCACCCCTGTTTTTAAGTCTCTGCGGCGACCAGCTATTACTGTCGTCTGTTTGCAAGGAGGCTGTTATGGAAAGGTTCGGATATATGCTGGGATGGGGGCTTGGGATTAGCTTCTGCTTCTGACTAACAACTCCTAACAACCCCCTAACACAACATTCTCCCTCCCCACCTCTCGGGATGTTGTTAATCTTTTTCCACGGCAGCGACATCAATTCCTCAAAGTAAGAAAATCCTTTACCCAGAGTTAAATATATCCACTATCCAGTAGATTATTACGCGATGAGCTTCTGAGAAGAGTTGATTGAACCGTTTTCTACCTGATAATCCAAATGAATGGCGCGTGGTCCGAGTGGATTGAAGTTGAAGTTGTCTATAGCACTAACACAATATAGCGGTGAAACATGATTTCAGCTATCGAACACCTGGTTGAACGTCTGACATGCTTAACACCAGACTGTTGTAATTCGCTGTTACAGTGATATGGGCATCCTCATTCCCAAAACCCTAGTGATATGAGCATCCCTTTCTCATATTACCTTAGCGATTTGGGGTAGATTTAGCGTTAGGGTTAGGGTTACAGGGGACGCGTATGTCACTAGGGTTTTGGGAATGGGGATGCCCATATCACTGTAACATCGCCACTTTACAAACGAAGAGAACTGGGGCCGAAATGCGTCGCGCAATGCTTTCTGGGATCGTTACTGGGGCCGCGTCGGTAGTAACAGTCCCAGAAGTCTTTGCAAACGTCAGTCGTGCCCAGTTTCCTCGTTTCTATAGTGGCGAATTTCAGAGCTGAGGCTAATACAAAGCGGTTACCTCTGTACGGCTGAGGAGTCTGGGAGCCCCACATAGGTCTAAAAGGAAGAAAAGAAACCATAAAGCAAACGTGAGAATCGCCAGCATCATGTTTAACGGTCCCGGGTTCCGGTAGGATCTAAAATGTTTGCGCAAAGTTAAACGGGTCATCTTTGTGCAATATCCGCAAAGTTTTACTCAGTTTATTTTTTACTTACCTTGTCTATCGAACGGGCTGATCTCACCGTCTTTCTCAACTCTTTGTGACTCTGGTTGAGTCTGAGCCTTGGCAATAAGGCAAGGTTTTAGTTTTTTCACATGCATTTCAATGTTTATATTTGATTCACCGTTCACGAGCTAATCTTCCCCGTAAACACACCTCATGCACTGTCGTTGAAAAAAATTAAGCGAGACCTCCGTGGACAAAACACAAGCCTCTGCCGCTGTAGCACTCTAATACTATTCAAGGACTTTTGCTGATACACTGAAAGATCATTACACAATTATAGTAAAAGTAAACATAACTCTTACCCTCGCTGGAAGTTCCTTTGACCCGGAAACGATCCAATAGGGTATTGTCGAGGATTACCCCATTCGGACCCAGGCCCGCGCATTCCTCCTTGATTTTCCATATTAGGACCTTAAAGGATAGAGAAAAAAAAGTCGACAATCAGGACTGTGTATAGAGGTCACAGGTTGAAATGTCCCACTAGTACCTTTGCGGAGTGGTCCGCCGGGCATTCCTGTCCAACGGCCCTGGTTATCCATAAAGCCCCCAGGGCCATGATCCATCGATCGCCCGATAGGAGGGCCCTGAAAAAAAAAAACAAAATAACTCTATAGCTGCAATTGTCAAAACACAAGAAATATTTCATATTTTTGAGTCTTTTCCCCTACCTTGGGACCAGGCCTTCTCATAGGCGGGGAGTCCTGGGTCTTAGCATGCTCCATGGCCATGAAGTCGTCCACGTGCATAGAAGGTGGGCGGCTCGTGTTTTGTTTACGTGACCTAAATATGTCATTCATACGTGGATTACCACGTCCTCGACCCATGCCTCTCATTCCTCGGCCGCCACCCCGCATTGGCACTGAAGGAGCTAGAAAAGTAGAAAATAAATCACAAAATAACCATATACACTTTGAAAGGCGCATTTCAGCTCGTAAACCATGGGGGGAGGCCATCTCTTCCATCCTCTCCTTCTGCGCCACTTCAAGTCTTACAGTTCAGGCAAAATCAGGGGCCGTTTCTTAAACTGTTTGTAACTCGAGTATATGTGCAGTTGACACTGTATTTAATCTGAAATGTTCTTCCAAACTTCAAATCCCAAGTTTCGTATACGCATACAGTGCTCAAACAACTAGGAAGCGGAATTGGCGTCAACAGGGTTCCTGGCGTCAACCATGGATTTTCATCGGACTGTTCTGTGTTTGTATCAAACTAAAACCTATTACAAACCTGTTTTCATTTTCTTGTAATCTTTTCGCTGACCAGATATCAGCGGATCGTACTTTCTTTTGGCTCTTAAATAACAAGAAACAACATGATAAGAAACCTACTCAGTATTCTACACCGGAATAAAAAAAATGACGTCATATTTACCTGTGGCTTTTCTTGCGTGTAGGGGAGCCTGGGGGCGAGGGTACCAGTCCTTTCTCCAGCTCGGCTTTAAGATCAAAGTCGGGACAAAACTTCTCTCTCAGAGAATCAAGACTGCTTTTTATCTGTGAAAATCCAAATTCATGCTGATCGTAATTCGGCACGGAGATTCATTTACGTTTTTACGGGTAATTGAACAGGTTTCTTGCCTGTGTTAGCATAATGTGCCCATTATTCAAGTTTCCCGGTAAATACAGCATACTCTGCGAGCATAAGTTCCTCTCTTGCATGGCTTTTAGCGTTTATGAAGTCGTTTCCGTCGGATGTCACCAACTACGCGACTGACATGCGATGCAAATGACTTCGATAACGCTAAAAACCATGCCAGAGAAAAACCCACGCTCGCACGGCAACTACAGCATTGTGCAACGGCAGTGGTAATTTCATCGGTCGTATTAAAAAGTGGTAAACCCTTGCGTCAGGGTGACATATCAAAGTGCGACCAGTACTGAACAGTACTTTCCTGCGCCAGTGTTTAATATGCTATACAAAGTGGTTCTAACACTTGAGTCTGTGGACGAAATCTTAAAAAGTGTCTTTTGAATCTAAAGCTACTGAAGAGCACTTCCCCTTTACACCGTTTCTGATACTGCGCAAACTAGTGGTTCTAGTTTTTAAAGGCTGTGGACGAAATCTTCATGACTCAATTCACAAGGAGGCCGCCGCGCAGTACTTTTCAGTTGCATTTGAAGAACTTGAAACAAGAAGCCTTCATATAACACATTAACTCGTTTAATCTGTTGAACTGCGAACCATACGAACCGAGTAAAAGTGCGAGTGCGAGTGCGAGCGCCTCTGAAAAGCACATGGTAAATAATTTATACAAATCACGTGACTAATACTGAATTATGCATGCTGTTCCACCGAATTGTTGAAATATGCTGTACAAAGTGGTTCTAGCCTTTGTGGTGCAAAAAGTGTGACCCACTAAGTATATTAAACGTTTTTGTGGCAGTATACATTATGCTTCACTGTTGAATGTATGGTCAAAATCGTAAGATTTAAACACTTCAGAGAGTTTCTGAAGAAGTCTATACGACTTCAGTGGCGTTGTTTTTTTCTCTCAGTTTACCCGTTATAGAATGACAACGATAAATTAAATTTTGATTTTTTCAGCCTTAAGCTGAAAGAGGAATTTGATTATGCCAGTTCATAAGATTAGAGACAACGAAAAAATGTTCAGCAGTGTTTCAGGACGGAGAGACAGTGCTTCTATTCAAGGCCTATTCGCTACTTTAAAAACGAAAAGAAAACTAAGCCGAGTTAACCTGCGCAAGCGGACTTCTGGGATCGTTACTGGGCACGCGTCGGTCAGCTATTGGCCACTGATTTTCCAAAGTCCCCAGTAACAGTCCCAAGAGTCATTGCGAACGTTAATTCGGCCCAGCTTCCTTCTCGTTTTTAACGTGGCGAGTGGAGGCCTGTGTCTTACCAGATCAACTTCAGGGTCGATATCGTCGGGGGGAGGGGTGGAGTACCACAGTGTTGGGCTGACCCTACCATCCTCAGCTTCACCAGCGACAAAAACCAGTCTGTTGACGAAGAGGGCCTGGAGTGGAAGCGGCGCTGGCAGCTGTGGTTCAGTTACTTCCTCTGTAAACAGAACAAACGCGGTAAAGAATCTTTGCTTTTGTTGGCTGCCATTTTAAGGGGGGAGAAGAGGGGGCTGTGTCACGCCCGGCAAGTTCATTTTCTTGCTAACAGAGAGCTTAAGCAAAGACCTTTTGCAGCCACGTACGTCAACTAGAAGTGGACGTTTTACATTCTTGGGCAGTGGTTTTGCCTAAATTTTCAGGCAAAGTAACTTAACAATACAAATTTGGAAGCGTCAATGCATATTATAAGGGAGAAGGTCCCACTTCCGGTTTACGTGCGTCGCTCAAAAAAGTCTTTGCTAAAGCTCCCTAATGCCAATTGTTCGCCCTTATTCTTACCATCCGTCGCAACAAATGATGCGAAGAGAAGGTTTAGCTTTTTAAAAAGATGGCAAATACCCTGACAGAGCCCCTTTAAAACGGTTGATGACGTATTCCAGTATTTCAAAGGTGTCAAACCTGTTACAAACAAATCCCTACACCAATAACCGTTATCGTTAAATCACTTCGTTCCTTCATCAGCTGTTTGCATCTTCATCATATTAATCGTTCGTATTCGTCATACCTGGTTCTTTGTCGGTGTCAGTTTCTGTTTTACTCAGTATAGTGATCAGAACCCTAACTGCATCTAAGAGCGGCTCTAAGGCCTCGTCTTCTTTGCAGCTCTCCTGAAACAAGAGACACCGGTACCATTCAAGTTACTGCCAATCAAAGGGTCATATTCATCAGATCTCTAAGTTGTGTCACGTCAGTTGATGGTATCAATCTATGGTTATTGACCTGAATGGTCAATTAAGTCGCGATTTTATTGGTCGTTTGTCAGTTGAACTGTGATTTTATTGTCTATGAAGACTCTTGATGTCATTGGTGCGTTTCGATCCGTCTGTTGTCACAATTAAATAGTTGTTTATTGTTTGTCAAATTATCGGTTGTCCAGTCCTTCTCTCGCAGTTAGTTTTGCTTGAGTCCGTCAATAAGTCGTTTGTACTGTGCTGGTAACTGTTGACTACAATTCAGTGGCGTTTGTTCTAAGTATACAAGGGAAACATCAATTCGACTGGGACTCTGCGACATGTATTACGTATTTTACAGACTACTATCAACGACCAACTTTAGAAAGTTGGTTTACTAACTTCAAACAACAAACCTCAAGCCGCTTTTCCAGTGTTTTAAGGGGACCATCCTTAGCTGCACTGTCGAATTTAAGGAAGCTTCTCATCTGTGCAGCGCTAATGCTGATTTCCGTGGTCCGTTTAAGCGGTTCTTCCTCCATGGCGTCATCTTCTTGGTCTGGGATCACCTCAGCCGAGTCTTCGGGAAGCAACAACTGCAGTAACTCGATGGTTGTCGAAAGTGTAGACAGGTTATCTGGGCCAGGTATTCCATTCCTGCGTAACAATTACATACTTTATCATGAGAGGGACACTGCTGCTCTTTACCCCAAACAATACCGTCAATTACAATTACAATTATCATTTCCATTTCCTATAGCGCCCAAAATCGATATAGCTCTAAGGCGCCTTAAAAAGTATGGACAAAAAATAAAAAAATTCAAGTAAACACTTTCAAATTTACAGGCATAAAACATCAAGTGTGAAAAAAAGGGAAAAAAAGATTACTTGAAAAAAGAAAAAAAAACTTAAATGCAATGCAGTTCAATGAAACAGTATACAATTCATACGACACGGTAAGGAACGACAAAAAACAACACGATACGACAACCATTCGATACGTTACAGTACGGTACGATACGATGTGATACGGCACGATACCGTGGTACGTTACGAACAATAAGGTAAAATTACAGCGTTTGAAATATTTGCTCGAGAAATCGGAACCCACTATTGCCATTCATTATCATATCGAGTTTAAGAAAAAACAAAACATAACTAAGAAACAACGCATAGAGAACATACTCGAAAGAAGAAGACAGCCTTTTAAGAAGACGGTAAAACACTTCATTGTTATTCTCCAGTGCACTGTTAGGAAAATGAAGAATATAACAAATAAATAGTAACTAAATAGTTTAATTATCAACTCCCTTGTGGGGCTTTTAAGGAACAATGAAACAAGTAATTCAAATGCAACATAACATGGTTAAGAATCCCAACTGCCCCGTAGTGGTAGGAGGCAAACCAGTTGGGTGGGACTACTTGGGACTACCAAGAACAAATTCAGCTGGCAGTCAGAGCGGGATTTGAACTCGGGGCCTCTGGATGACTATAACCGCTATAACCGCTTGACCACGTTGCCTCATCTCCTAAACAATCACTGCTCAGATATTTTGTCCTATAAGGAATGCTCTGGTGAATTATCACGAATTGAAATGTATTTCATGAGTCCATGGACGAAATCTTTGGCAACAAAGATAAAACGAAACGTGAAACTTTCATACGGCATCTTCTCTCATTTAGGTCAAAAGGGAGGTGTGGGAGTTTTCTTTCGAATCAAGACTTAACACTTTCACGAGTTATTGAACAGCTCTTCTCTCAATCCCGCCTTGTAAATCTTGATGGTCAAGAAGTAAAAAAATGACAAAAATAGTCAAAAGAAACGACTCAACTTAAGTTTTTACTAGATGGACAATTTTGATACCCTGACCACCGATCGGCCAATTAAATTTGACAAACTGCATTCCACATCTGCAGTAGTATGTTCCCACAATTTATCTCCCATCAAGTCGCCCAACTCGTTGTGAGAGTAATACTCGAAGATTAACAGAGAGTATTCAGAAAGAAACCACACAAAAAAAAGGGTAGCAAAAACCGGATAAACGTACATTTTCTGGTGATAGACGCCATAGTTGTGTTCTGTCAGAGTCAGCAGGGTTCTAAGGGCCAACAGAATAGTGGCGAATGACTGACGCTCTGATCCCATGTGTTCTAGCAAGGCTGCACAAATTACCTCAAGCATCTCCTTGTCCGGCAAGGTGTTTGCCAACTTCAATAAATTGAATACAACAAAGAAATAGATAAATACCGTGAAAACTCTGTCAGTTTTTGCAATAGGCTCACCCCTCCTCTAATAATCGCCCTTCCCCCTTTAGGGACAAAGCCACGCCTCTGGGACTTTAAAATGACGGATCTGTTTGTGAAGGACTGACAGAATACGACGGAGCTGGGACTGGATTCAGAAAGTCTTCCTAAAAAATACTATATCTTGCATCCCACGAAGATGTTCTTACGGCTTCATCACGAGTTCCTTTCCACAACGTGCGACGAAGCCCAAAAACCGTCCGCGTGGGAAGATGAGATAACTATATCGTAATTATTGTTTGACAACAATAGATCATTGTTAAGCGTAGCACTGTTTAGGATACCTCGTAACTTGGGCGGTCTTAAGAAACTCCAGGCCTGGTTGGCCGGTCTGGTCATCCTTAGACTAGCTACTTAGCAGCCTGACTGAAGCAAAGGGACAGGGATGTGAACATCTACAGTAAAATAATCTAAGCGCATTTGCTAAAAAATTGGGGAGAAGCTTCAGTAGCACAAATGGTTGGGTGAAGTTCCCTCTTTTTGATTCCCGGTGCCATCCCACGCGTCTCGCTTCGCCTCTCGCGATTTTCAAGAAGAGAGCTAGTCGGTTTAGCTGGCCAGTTTCATCGCGGATGACTGCTTCATTCCAAGGGTTCTTTTGTTGTTTCTGTTCGGGTTGCAAAACCGCGAAAAGAATTTGGCAGAGTCGAATTGGATTTTTTTTCCACACGGCTTAACGGTTGGTGAGCGCGGAGGCTTCGCCGCCAAAACGCATTCTAGTATTCTGATCCCGCCAACTACGAAGGCCAGTGGAGAGCTTAGAGAAGGCTTTAGGGACACCTAAAAACTAAAAAAACTCACATGCTGGTCTGTAAATGGAGTTTCAAATGGCATCAAACTCACAGTAGGATCACACAAGGACTGCACGATAGACTGAAGTAACAAAGAAAACACAAGATTAATTTCTGCGTTTAAGGACTAACTATTATTTAGCGCAAAAACGCGGTAAATCTCAACCTCAAAGTCAGTCTTTGAAAGTAAGTTGTCTGCCTTCATATTTAAAATGTAAAGCTCCGGCCGTGTGGGTATTCCGTGGCTCACAATTTCACGGTTTGTCTCATAGCAAGTGAAATGGTAGGTGTTAAAGAGCAGAGAGATAGGGCGCGATACATTTGAGCAGTTCTTCCGGAGATGCTTGGGTTCACATTGAGCGAAAAAATCCAGGAAAAAAAGGTTTCGAAAGTTTTGGTTTTTCTCACGAGGCTAATCTTTAATTTCGAATTTCAAAATTATTGCAAGACAGCAAGGAACCGCTGCAATTTCAAATTCGAATTCTTGTTCGAATGGATCGCGCTAACGAGCCTCCATACCACAACGCAGTACTGCGATCTGGACACCATCTGGTTCTCTGGGTCTCCCTTCAGACAAGACAACATGGACGGCAGGAGATTGGGGAACAACAAGTCGTCATTCTTAGCATTTCCACTGTGGGCAAAACAGAAAGAAAGCTTGCGTTCAGTGTTAAAAGTAATACACTTCAAGATCTCGCATCGTGACATAATTCAGAGCTGCAAATAATATTCATTTATCGAACAATTGCCCAGATAGAATTGGTTCGTATCCGACGGAATGTTAACTGAGGTCGGACATGACTTCTTTTATTGGTTATTGCGAAGTCGTAAATGAAACTGGGTCCCTAAAACAATCCCATACTGCAATTCAACAAAACAACGACCCAGTGTCAAAGTGACTTTACCAGAAACTCATAAGGGGTTGAATGTTTCTGCTTATACCTACCTTGTTTTCAAAAGCTGAAGAAGAGAAACTTTGACGGCTGGTTGTGATGAGAGATAAGCCAACAGGGTCATGATACGAACACCTCCACCAGTACAACTTTAGAAAAAGAAGAACTATTCAATGAACATATTAATGACATTTTGTCACTAAACTAACTGATAAATTGACAAACTGATAAGCTATTTGAAAGCAATGGTTGTGATACTCTACTCGCAGTGGTCTTATAACCCTGAGGTTTTGATAACCAGGAAATCAGCTGGTAATAACCACAGGTTAAGGAGTGAAGGCAAGATCGAATCGAAGGTCAAAACGGTCTTGCTCTAGCTATAACACGGTATTTTGGGCAGTTTTCGCGTGATAGAAGGCCAAAACACGGAGCCTGACCAGATTACACGCCACTCATCCTTGGTAGAAGTCCAAACGAATGTTGTTGCATAATAGCAACCTAGAGATTAGGATTACGGGCTCTCTATGGTCGCCGGCAATAAAGCTTTCGAATATCCACACAGAGTATTCAGTACCAGAAAATTCAAGGGAAGAGGCTTTGGTTCTTTACTCGTCTCGTCCCCTTTTTAGCAACTAGCCGGGTTTTTTCACTCACCTGTTGTCTTCTGTATTTGTTTTACTCATCTCACTGTCCAGAGTCTCCAGCAGAGTTCTGTCAAACAATACAGTAAATGTTTGGTTAAACAGTAGATGGTCAGCGGTCGCCAGAGCCCCGACGACCAGAAGCAATGTTAGTTAGCTGAATACATCTTGCTCCTAACAGTCCCCGAAGGAAAAAATTACAAACAATTCAATTTTTGTAAAATCCTAAGAAATAAAAAGCACCTTCCAAAAGAACTGCCAAAGAAGTTATATTTGAATGGTATCACCATAGGATTTCATCCACAGACTAAATAAAAAGTGCCAAATGAAAGTACTGCTGAAGAGGTTTCATTTGAATGGTAACACCATGGTATTTCATCATAAGATTGTAAAGTTAAAACTACATACTAAATATAAATAGCACCATGTGTTTCTCCTTTCCGTTTAGTTTTACATTCAAGATCAAACTTTCAATAACTTTGACAATGATACAATGAAACTAAATTTGTACTTGAATTTTATAGCCGAATATAAAGTTTTACACTCTTCCTTCAGATTTCTCATCATTGGAAAACTGTTAACGACGCAAAATTGACCGGTTTATGAACTAGGAACTGTGCTACTATTCAACAAGTTTTGAGTTTAAAATTTACATTCGAGCTCGAAAAGGAGAAACGGGCCTCACGGACTCATACGTCTCCGTAAGGGGTTCCTAGAGGGCTTATATCCCAGGGGGCTTATATCCCAAGGGGCTTATATCCCAGGGGGCTTATAACCGCAATAGAAAAAAGCACATCGAAACAAGGGGATCAATTTAGGTTTCCGGGAAACTGCCCACCTACCCCTCCCCTAAGTCAATATTAACACTTACTTCTCACTTAGGACAAAATATTGGGTTAGGGGAGGGGAAGCTTTGCAGTTTCCAGAAACCTAAATTGACCCAAACAAGCTATAGCAGTGCTCATCAACATGCGTTTTTCATGTAGTGGTTATGACAGGGGGAGCTTATAAGCGTTTATGTAATATATCAAACATGAGACGCAGTGTTTCATGTAATATATCAAACATGAGATGCAGTGTTTCATCACCAGATGAAACACCGAGAAGAGAGTTGAAAATACGACGCGCAGCGGAGTATTTTTGACGAACTTCGAGGTGTTTCATCTGGTGATGAAACACTGTGTCGAATGTTTGATATTTCTTCTCAAACAAAATCATTTTTGAAGGAGAAATTAAGGATGCAAATACTGAGCAGTTTTTCATCCGATTTCCAAACACTCATTAAACATTAATTTTCTTTGTATTTTCTTTATGAATTATTAATGAGTTTGAGAAGGTGTCGTAAACAATTCAGTCTCCCCACCGCTAGTATAATAAACGCGCAGACATTACCTGACAATGTTGAAAGCTGTGGGAGCAGAGAGATCCGACAGCTGTGAGCAAACTTTTCTCATAACCTGCTGCAAGTTGTGACATGCTGAACCTGTAATTAGGTTTTCATATTTTGTTAGTGTTAACATCAGATGATCAGTCATGAAGTTTACCAAGACAGATTCTACTATAATAAAACTAACCGCTTACAGACAGTATTAACCAGACGCCACCTGGGTCGCCTTAAATTCTAACATTGTTAGACACACGTATCTTCTAAGTAAATTGCAGTAATGCAAAGTAACAACTTCAGGGAGCGTAAGAAACAACGACGAAGACGGCTATGAAGACGTCACTTAACAAGTGAAGTCCCGCTGCCTCGAACTTTATCGCGGTTATTCCATCTCGTTAAGTTCGTCAAATGTTGTCAAAATTTTTCTGGAGATGAATTCTAAAAGACTGCGTCGAAGTTCAGGAAAAGAAAAAGATATTTGTTATCTTGTGTTCCGTCCTTCATAAAACGTGAAATTAGGCATTTTCGAGTCTTAGTCGTGCAGTGAAGACAAAGAAATGTACAAAAGGGCGCGATACGAGGGCAGAGTTGTTGTTTTACCCCTCGTTCAGTTCGTCAAATGTTGGCAATTTTTTCTGGAGCTGAATTCTAGAAGACCGTATTAAGTTCAGAAAAAGAAAAAGAAAGTTGTTGTCTTGTGTTCACGTCCTCCACAAAACGTGAAATTAATTATTTTCACATCGTAGTCGTGCAGTGACGGCAATGAAAGAAATGCACAAAAAGGCATGATGCACGTGCAAAGTTGTTGTTTTGCCAATCTAATCCTTTTGCTTTTTTGCCGTTCTCGTTAACGTCGATGAAGTCGTTGTTTAAGCTCCCTAATAAGTGTCATTTTATGAAGGACGGAAAATCTGACAACACAATGGTCACTCTAACGAAATTTTGACGGGCCTACCACAGTCAGTCCATGAAGAGAGGTCGGACTACATTTTTCACTGCCTTTATGGTACTTGAAGGCGTTACAAAGGGAGCGGGAAATACCGCGGGAAAACTGTTGGGAGAGGAACGGGTACTCCTGCCTTTTGCGTTCTCACACGCACTATTTTCCTCCCTCCCCCTTCCCCCTTTCATTCTGAACGCCCGCAAAGAAGACCAATAGACCTCAATAGCTTGCATGTTTTGTTTTCTCATGGAGGGTCTTGTCTCTTCATAGTCCGTGCCTACACATGCGCGTGGATAAGACGAATTTTGAAAGAAACAGTTCTCAAGAGTTTTATCACTGGACCTACATTGCGAAAACAAAACATGCAAGCTAAAGAGGTCTACTGCGTACCAAACAACCAAAGAAGTCTACAGACGAGTGGCGAGAGGGGATATGCAGAGCTGTAGCATAGGCGCACTGACTATAACTCATGACTATACCTGCTAAATCCTTAAGTATTCCCTGAAGTTCAGTGCTTAGTGGATTCAGATGAGCACTCCATAGTAGTCGATGGTTCATCACCTGGCCCGCTTCTTCTTGAGGTATGTCCTGCAAAAAAATGTCAGACAAAGAGAATACTATTTAAACAAATTCTGGGACGTACGCTACCCGAAGAGCACAGAATTTTTTAAGCTTAAACTTAAAGTTCTGATGAATTTTGGAGTTTGTATGCATGTGTGCGTAGTTCTCGATATGGATGCTATTTCCTTAGATATTAATTGAAAGCGCTGAAAATTGTACAAATTGCTCAAGTCTGCAAAATTTGTCTATTGTATGTACCATCATTTAGCACAAGAAAAGGGAAATAGAAATGCCAGGGCAAAACCTAATAACTGTGGAAGAACGACTGCCCCCAAAGAGAGGCATAAAGGAAAAAATAAACATTTATTCTTTAACCTAGCACTTCGTTCATTATGGGGTCATAGTTAAACCACAAATAACACTGTGTGAAAAGGAATAATTGCTTTGGTAGTTCACAAAACTCTATGACCTTACAAAATACCGTAAAATTCCGAAAATAAGCCCCGGGGCTTATATTTTTCAAAGGCCCTTTTTGAGGGGCTTATTTTTGGAGGGGCGTATATTCGGAGGGGCTTATCTACGGAGGGAAATTTGCGTTTCAAAATCGATTGGGCTAGCCATAGAGTTGGAAGTAAATTTACCGTTTTTGCTTTGTTTTACTCTGTATTTGAGGGCAATTTTCCAAGTACAAGCCCCCGGGGGGCTTATATTTGGAGGGGCGATTTAACGGAGGGTTTTTTTGCGTTACCGGTTTGGGGGGCTTATATTTGGAGGGGCTTATTTTCGGAATTTTACGGTATTTGGCACGTACCTCTGAACAGCGAATAGGTAGTGGTATTGGCAAAAGTTCTGACAGTAGGACAAGTCCTCCTAAAAACGTCTGTACAAAACAAAGGTAATTTAAAACCAGCTGAAACTTGTAAACTTATTTTTGGACCGGCATTCTAGGCTGGAAAGAATATGCAGATCCACAAATAACAATGGCTCACTGACCAATGTCCGACTAAAATTTGCCCATGTCCGACGAGACCCTAACTGTGGTCTGACATGATGACCGGAATCCTTGTTTCAACTTCTCTCCTTTCCGTTTAGTTTTAAGTAGCTTTAAATACCCGTGAAAATAAGCTGTGATTGAGAGAGAGGGAGTCGGGGGTGCGAGGGGGGTGGGGGGTCTGTAAAATGCGATGTGAAATAAGGAACTTTAGCTTCACCTTTGAAGTCATCAAAGCAATTTTACAGTCAAAATAATGAACATAATAATTATATGCCCGATAAAGTTTCTACTGGAACGGAAACCTGGTCGGACATGTTTTTTTTAAATAATAAATTGCAGGCCTAACACTTACCTGGGGAGAGGATGTGGTATAAAGAAGAAGTTCTTTCAACATCAAGGACCAGATACTCTCATTTATAGCTGTTAAAATCATTCAGATTGTCAGTAGTGTATAAAAAAAACGTCGCAAAACGAAGTCATGCACTAACAGAATTGCAAAGAATTGGGCAGCAAAAGACAAATTTCAAGTTTCCTTCTTGTCAAAGCCATGGGTTTAACATGTTGCAAAATCCCAGACGATCTGGGATTTAACATTTTCCTGACCGTCCCAGATTTCCACAACCAATGAAAACTCGAAATCTACTTCTCTGCAATTGGAAAAAGCCAATCATCGGCAACCTTTAATGAGCCAATTTTAAGTTGTTTGTGAGACTAGGTCGCAGTTGTGTAAGACTGCATTATGGGACTAGTTTGGGGACCGCTATCCCATTTATCCCTCAAACTGCGTGTCCCATAGTGCAATACGACATAACACCGGCCCTACCTCATTGGCCAATGAAGTCGTTCCTGGGGTTCTGGGGCAAAACACGCAAGAAGAAAGGGAAGAAGTGATGAGGGGGGGGAGAGGTAAAAAAACATCTGCATAGGATATTACAGATAAGAAGTCCACTTGAGGCACCAGTTACAATGATCAAACGTACTGTGGATTAGTTCAAACAACCTCATAACAATCGCGGCTGCAAGACACACAACATACCTTCCTCGTGATCCGAGGACTGAACAACTGGTCTTGTAAATGTCATAAACACTCCAACAATTTCACTCTGAATCTTGAAGAAATGACAGCAACCACTGATGAGAGGCATATTAATGCATATCTCCTCAAATTGTCACACGTCATAAATGCACCTACCCCTCCCCTAACTCAACGCTAACACTTCTCACTAAGGAAAAAATGTTGGGTTAGGGGAGGGGTAGGTGGGCAGTTTCTCAGAAACCTAAGTCGTCCTACAATCCTACCTTGTAAGCAAGACTGCTAAGCTGGCCTGTCATAGGTGCTGTACACATGACAGTATGAATCATCATCAATGCCTTCAACAGTCTTGTATCCTTAAACTGGTATTTGCCGCTGCTGAGTAATTCTGTCAATAAAATCTTCACCAGTGCCAGAAGAGGTGTTACCATGGAAACCATGACAAGCGGTGGCCCGGAGTTCAAGGGTTGTCCTTGTCTCCAAGGTCGCAGAAGGTACTCACCAAGTTTTTGAAATGTGGTGATGAACACATCCATGGCATTTGCTGAGAATAACTCTATACAGGCTAAATTTCTGTTTAGATCTTTCTGAACAACTGTAGAGAAAGAACGGGACAAATAAAAAAATGCAAATTACAAAAACGTAAAAAAGGGCATTGACAATGAGTGAGTGAGATTACAGGTCCCATATGTAAAGAATACAAATTAATTCTACAGTTAGGATTTAATCAAGCCAGAAGCCTTTCAGCTATAGTATGCCAGAAAAAAATCTAATTTATTTGACACAACACTTGCATAATTATTGACCATAATTACCATTATTAATACAAATAAGCAATCACTGACCAACCTTCAGTAGTGTTAACATCTTTATCCAAACAGCCAAGATGTCTAAGAACTCTGAGAGCCATCAACACTCCACAAGTGACACTGGGTGTTGTGTTTATCTCATCCAAATGACTACAAACAAAACAGAGCAACGAGCAAACATTTTGAATTAACTTTGAACAACTGTTAGACTGAAGAGTTTTAATTGTCTTCCGTTTTGTCAAGTTATTTGCTATCAATGGAGTAATGCACCTTCACAACATTTCACAACACTGCTACTTTAAATAAAGATGTATATTTTTTTGTATATAACTTCTGCAAAACGTCTGGGACTGTTAGTAGGGATATGGGAAAAATTGGCGATAGTGGTGCATGCTTATTACATTCATTGAGTCGTACACTTGAGCCTGCGATACAGTCAGGTGACACTGGTCAGCAGATACCCTTTTTTGACAGCTGTCAATTGACCATAACATGTCCATAAGGATGTCCACTATCAAGTTAAACACACAGTAGGGCCATTTATACGAGGAAAAATAAGACGCGTCTTATGTAAATAAGACGCGAACTTTCCGTATAAACGGCACATTTCGTCTAAAATAAGACGCGGCTTAGCTAAGACGCGTCTTATTAGATAAGACATGCTCGTATAAATGGTACAGTTCGCGTATTATTTAAGACGCGTCTTATTTTTCCTCGTATAAATGGCCCTATTGTATATGCCTTGGACACCTAGCTAATAGTGCCTGGTCATTACAAGAAAACAGCCAATCAGAGCCATATAATAAGGCCATATAATAGCCATATAGTGAAGGGACATGAATGAAATTTTCTAGCACTTCTTCTAAAATTACTTTCACTACTTTTGGAACTGTTTTTTCTGGCACTTTGTAGGGAGGATAACACTGGGTCACATGAAAGAATAATTTCTCGTACCTTTTCACAAATTCAACCAGTTTGGTTATGCTTGACATGTCAAACTTGATGTCCTTCAATGCCACAAGCCAGTTACCTAATTCCGTGGCAGAAGTATCTGCGTCATCTGAAAAAACATCAGAGAACAGAACAGATAAAAAGCCAAGTAATAGGCCGCCCAAAACTAAACTTCAGAATCATTTGACATTTGGAAGCCATTCACCATACCATGAAATACCCCTACCAACTATTAGTAGCTATACATGTCATCCTTACCTCTCGCTGTGACAGCTAGGAGCCTGGGAGCCAGGGTGGATAACATTTCCACATTTTCAGACACTAAACGCAAAACCACAAAAATAAGCACTAGCAGCACACAAGACTTGATTCCAGTAGTCAAGATATTTATCTTTACGTTAAAACTTTCCTTACCCTGAGATTTATTTAAACCACCTAAATTTATTACTCGAAAGTAAATAATAAGAGATTACATTCAAATAATCAAACATATTCAGTTTTATTCCCATCTTTGTGTTGAAGAATTGATAGCTTACTACTTGTAGTGTGTGTGTAATTATGAAATATATAATTTAAAATTATCTGACTTTTTTCAAAACCTTAGCAATCTTTTGTATCCTAGCATGTGTCCAGCCTCCATCTCTCCTCTTAACCCTTTAATATCTACATAGAAATTCTCCAAACTGATCTCCATACATTTCCATAAAGAATGTGTTGAGAGAATTTGATAAAAGATCACAGCAATTTTTCTTTGGTGATCATTTTATTGATTCTCATCACCTAATCTCTTGACAATCTATGGATATTGTTAGGAGAAAATTGATGTTGGTCACTATTGGGACTTAAAGGGTTAAAAATTGAGGGGGGCACCTGCTCTGAGGAAAAAAGCACACCTTTACTTCAGGTATGACTGTTAACATAGTATAATTTCTACATATAGGTGATAAAACATAAAAGTAACTATTATGTTAAATTATTTTAAGTACTCACATTTCACTGTTAGAAGAATTAACACAGCGGCATATCTTGTTGACACACACTTCTTCAGTTTACTATCATCCTCCGCGTTTCCTAAATGAGAAAGAAAACTTCCATAAAAAAATTAATGTTACCCCTACTTTAGACTTCCAAAATTCCCCAAGCAACCACATCTTGATAGCAACTGACGAATATTTCTAATTCTTAAGGCTGGTTTTCATAGTGACAGAGTCGGAATCGGAGTCATAATCAGAAGTGTAAGACTTAATGATTTAGTGAAAACAGTGTTCTGATTCCGCTTATGACTCCATCGCTCGTGATCAAGTGAAAACTAGGTTGTCAGAGTTGCAAACAGAAGCAGATGAACGAAACCAATCACAAAGCGTGGGAACGTGCACTGTGATTGGTTTATCCTTCCGCTTCTGCTTCCAACTCTGATAATCTGGTTTTCACTAGATCATAAGCAACGGAGTTGTAAGCAGAGTCAGAAGAAAATGGAAACGTTCTGATTCTTCCGACTCCGATTCCATCTTGCTTATGACTCTGCTTACTACTCCGATTTTTTATTCTGAGTCATAAGTGCTCTTACGACTCTAGTGAAAACCAGCCTTTACCCTGATCACAGACTACTGGCACTGTAGAACAACACGCACCTGAATTTTAAAAATTAGCTGATGCCTTGTTTTAAATTCATACAATTCAATCATTATAATGTTAACTTGCTTAAAAACAAACTAAAGACAAATTAGAACCACAAAGCAAGCTGTCAGTGCCTGCACGTGTACCAGGAAATGTTCTTTGGCTTTTTAGAAATGTGAATGTGAAATGTGAATGGCAAGAAAAGTCAAATCCCTTGCTAGCTGCCTACTTCAAAACGTAGGGAAAGCACTGAAAACAAATGCAACATAGTAGTGTGTTGATTACAGGAAAGGAAAATAAAGATAATAGAAATGTGATGGTGAATTTCAAGCCTGGTGAATACATGAAAAAGATTATTTTTCAGTCAGTGACACCGCCTGTAGCTTGATGGTAAAGAATCTGGGCCTGGTTCCTAAAAAGGCCGGTTAACATTAATCCAAGATAAAAATTTTGCTCTTTTTGCATTTTACATACCTAGCCATTGCTTAATAGGGTAACATTTTGTGTTATCATTATTTTATCTCTTTGCAAAGGCTCAACAGTAATAAAAACTTGAGTTGCATGTTCTTAGGCAAGAAAACCATGCTTGAGATTTGGCTTAGTCCTGGGTTAACCTTTACAATCTTTTGAGGAACCAGGACCGGAAGATCATAGGTTTGACTCCTATTTGGGGTACTTGCCTTTTTTTTCTTCCAAGCCACCAGTGTCACTGACTGAAAATCATCTATCTCACGAAAATGAAGATGTCATCTTCATTATTTTCTTGTACATAAAACGATAACAGAGAGAGATAAATAATTAAAATTTGAAACAAACCTGTGGATTCCACAAAAGGAAGGAGACACCGAAGATTGGTATCCAGACTGAGAACAGATACAACTGCAGCCTTACCTTATAAAACAGAAAAGAAGACAAAAATATTGTTACATTATTTTGCAAAGTTGCTATGACAGAATCAACGTTTCATGCAACACATGCAGACACAGAAACATGTCACAGTCGTATATAAGGTTTAAAATAGTACCACAGAAAAAGAAAGATGAGCATGACTCACCATCTTTACTCTGGCCAGAATGCAGAAAAGGTGTTTTCAACACACAACTCTTACAAAATTAATCCAGTTATACATACATATCAAGTAAGGCTAGAAAAGCTTAAACTCAAAATTATATAGATCAAAAGTTTTTATTAATTGTTAACAGCTATTTTGTCATTTTTTTTTTTCTAATAATCTTAAGTCCTTTGTTAAAAGCCAATATTAGTTTATCTAGATTTGAAACTCATATTTTTAAGTGTTGTAATTTCTATTTTACGATAAAATCTTTATCTCTTACTATATTATTTTTCTTAGTTATATTTACATAACTATGTATCAGCTAGGAATTGGAGGAATAAAAATAAATAATAAAAAAAAAATTGTTAACTTTTTATCAGTTTAGCTTTTAAGTGTATTTTAATTGTTGTATTTTAGCTTTTTTAAATGATATTTTAAATGTTTATTATTATTATTATTATTATAAATTATTAAGCAAATGTATTAACATTAGTTGCTATGGCTCAAATACCACCTGCTGTTTGGGGAAAAGCAAGAATCAAACACTGAACTCAGAAGAATGGAGGAAATTGCGCCTAATTACTCACCAATTGCCGTAAATGTCATAGAATACAGGGTATGCAAAGTAGACAGCATGTCTGCACCATCCATGTCATTTGGTAGTATACCTTCAAGAAAAAGTTGATACCATAATGTGCATGAAAACGTGAACAATGTATGTGAAAACATACCATCAACCTTCTCTACAACAAGAGTAGTTGAGCCTAATACTAACTGTCCTTGTCTTGTAGAGGTGTCTGCCTTTAATTAAAGGGGTGACAGCCTTATAAAGAGCAAAACCGCAGGAAATAACTTGGGTGTCTAAATTGTACGATGTTATCCACTAACAAAATGGAAAGGCAATGTACTCAAGATACTAGCTTTTTACACATAACTATAATTTATAATATCAAAATGGCTTGTGCATCTGCCTAGGATAAATTATAAATTATGTAATGATTCAGGTTTTTTTAATTTTACCTGATGAAAGGGAGGTTAACAACTGATCCACTGCTTGAAGAGTCTAACATAAAAAAGGTCGCATTAATTAGAGTGATTAAAAAAATGTAACATGCTTTGCTTGTCCATTGAACACCTCCTATAGGGGCTAAACTGATGGAACATCACACTAGCCCCTGGCCATAAGAAAACTTTTCTCACACAAAGAATTGCCTCTATCAACTAAGCAGAAAAAGTAAAATATTATTGTCCAATACAGGGCTTGAAAAAAAAACTTGAATTCCAGCTTGTTCTTTGGGCAAGCACCTCTCACATGTTGCTCACCCCGAGCCTTAGTTGATGATTTCGTTCAAGGAAGGAGTCATGGATGAAAGGGTAACAGACTTGCCCTCTTTACAATATAATCTTAACATGTTTAACAGTAGAGCTCGGATGTTAGCATACAAAGGCGCCACTGGCAGCCACTCTCAGTCCATTTATGAGCTTACTGCATCCACCCAAGCATGATGTGAATGATGTGAAGGTTGACCACACCACCAGGGTCTACATCCCCTACTCTTGTAGATATGTTAGAGATGACTTATAATTACCTGGACCCTTTTGCTCATTACGCAAGTGAACTTTAAAAGTTACTTGCCAAGCAAGAAAATCTACTGGTCTTGGACTAACAAATGGGATTTTTTATTTTCAGAAAACTATGACAGCTGCAGCTGTTTACAAATGCTACCATGATACTCTCACCTGCAAATGATATATCAACAGGAGCCCAAGATGCTGAGGTGTACAAGAGTCAGCTACAGTGCTGTCCCTTAGAATTTCCTATGTAGTGATAAAAAAGAAAAAAATAGGAAATTTGAAATAACTACTATCTGTTAAGAGGGATAAAATAATCATGAATGCCGTTTTATGCCTTAAATGGGGAGCAAGGGATGGTGCAGTGGTGAGAGCGTTCGCCTCCCACCAATGTGGCCAGGGTTCAAATCCCAGCATTGACGCCATATGTGGGTTGAGTTTGTTGCTGGTTCTCTCCTTCGCTCCGGAAGGTTTTTCTCCGAGTACTCCAGTTTTCCCTTCTCCTCAAAAACCAGCATTTCCAATCAGGTAGACAAAGAACCACTTTGTGGATGTGCTACCTCCAAATCATTATTTATTTATTTTTATTTATTTATTAGCTTTGCCAGCCAATTTTAAGAATCCATCAAGACATTAAACATTTCTCACGTTCAATGATGGTGCTTCACTGTGGTGAACATCTGCTTCCTGAAAGATAAAATTAGTCGTCATGTACCTAAGTGATCACCATCAGGATCCACCACCTACCCTCCTCTCCCCTCACCCAACATTATGCCCTAAATAACAAGTTAGTGTTAACATTGCATTAGGGGAGGGGTGAGTGGTCAGTTCCAGGGAATCTTATACTGATCAACTGATTCACCAAGACCTGCACCTTCCCCTTCCTTTACCCAATATTTCGCCCCACGTACAAAGTCAGTGTTGAGACAGATTCAATTAGGAAATTGAGCAAATTAAATTTTCAGTGGGCAAAAGCTTGTACCAAAATAATAAGCCTTTCAAGCATATTGCATTCGTTTTTAAACTTTTCAAGGGCAATTAAAAAAAAAATGTACAAAGTTATATCAAATTACTCCAAAGAAAAGGTTCTCATGGGAGCCTGAGAAAACAAACTTGAAAAGCTTCAAATTTGACTGAATGAAATCTTATGCATGACAATTTTAACTGTGCTTTCTCAATTCTAGTAAAAGTTGAGATTTATTTTCTTGTGTTTCCATAAGAAATTGCCTTTGGTGTTATTACAGATAACTTATTACATCTATAGCCCTTGAAAAGCGTGAAAAATAATGCGATATGGCCTAAAATATTTTGGTACAAGGTTTTTGTTCACTGAAAATTAAAATTACTCAATTTCCTGATGGATTCCACCTTTTAACATTCTTTCAGGGATGGGTGGGTGAGCAGTTCCCAATGAATAGCCCACAATATCATCCTTACATGACTCTGAGGCTTTCTAGTCACTCTTCTATATTTGGCTTGGTTTTCTTTGTGCTCCAGTCTCTTTGGGAATTACGAGACAATCCAGCCAAGTAAAATTTGGAATTTGTCCCCAAAGCCTTGGAGTCAGTCAGGAGTCATTAATACATTAAATGTGGGATATTACAAAAGGTGACACAACTACTTACAGTTGTTTGAGTGAGGACTCTAATCAGACCATTAACTGTGTCAGGATGAGAAGAAAGAAACAGCAAACCTAAGAAACACAAACATGAAGTACATAATTATTTACAGTAGTAGTATACTTTGTGGTGTCACTGAAATAATGATTGAGAGGTGATAGAGTTACACAGCTTTCTGAACAATAGAGAAACTCTGAAAATGACTACCACACAGGTTGTCGAAACATGAATCAGTGAGTCAATGGTGATGTCCTTTCAAGATGAAGGAACATTCACACCCTTATGAGTCTGTTGCCACTGAGGGCACTCACATACCTCTTTGTGACTGTAGCAAGTAAAAGAAAAAGTCTCTGATTGGAGCAAACACAGCAGGATGACATCCAGTGGGAGAAGACATCACAATAAGAATTGACTCCAAAAGGCGTCTGCAGAAAAAAATATCCAACATTTGAAAATAAGCAGATAAGCAGAAACAGAAGAAATAAGCAGAAACAGAAGAAACAGGAAAAACAGGGGCAACAGGGATAACAAGGACAACAGGGATAACAGGGGCAAAAGGGGCAAAAAGGACAACAGGGACTGTAGGGGCAACAGGGACAACAGGGGTGACAAGGACAACAGGGGCAACAGGAAAAAGAGGGGCAACAGGGACAACGGGGGTAACAGGGGATGCAAAGGCAACAAGGACAACGAGGACAACATGGGCAACAAGGACAACAGGGGTAACAAGGACAACAGGGAACACAGGGGCAACAGGGAACACAGGGGCAACAGGGACTGCAGGCGCAACAGGGACAACAACGACAACAGGGGCAACAGGGACAACAGGGGCAAAGGGGACAACAAGGACAACAGGGGCAACAGGGACTGCAGGGGCAACAGGGGATGCAAAGGCAACAAGGACAACAGTGACAACAGGGGCAAAAGGAGCACAACAGAGACAACAGGGACAACAGGGGTGACAAGGACAACAGTGACGACTTTGCACAACAGGGATGACTGGGACAACAGGGGCACTAGGGCAACAGGGACGTGGCAAAATAATATATCTTCAGACTCTTGCTATAAAGAAATTTCATGCAGATGGTCTTTTTGAATTTGTGTAACTCACCGGGCTTTGAAGAAGTGGAACATTACAGGGTAAGGATCCTTGGGAGTAGCATCAAAACCTGTTATCTTTGCTGAGGTGGGAAAAGCCTTTACAGGAGATTGCACCTGTGAAAAGTGACAAAATCATGAATTTAGTATTAAATAGCAATAATAATGATAATGATAATGATAATAATAATAATGATAATACAACACAGTCCAAACCGATGTATGAAAACAATCACTTGACCGCTTTCTGGGATGTTCCAGTATATGCTGACCAGACAGAAGTCAGAGCTACCAGCCAAGATGCAAGAATTGTTGACAGAGAAAGAAGGAAGAAGAAAAAACCTTTAAATATTCCCCACATGGAGCTCAAGAGACAGCATTCAGGTTTTGAAATAATATATTGTAATAATATTGTAATTGACGTCCTGGGTGGGTATTCAAAAGGTCTAAGAGACAATAATTATGAGATCAGTAGTAGTAGAAGAGAGAGGCAAACAAATGTTGAGAATAATGCAGAAAGCTGTTCTACAATGTAACTAGCAGCCTCAACAATGGAAGATCATTTAAAATTTTATGCTAGGACCACGAGTGACCATAAGTGAAGAACAATGTGTTTTCTTTTTTTAATGTGATTATTATGATTTATTTATTTTTTAGACAGACTTAACAAACAATAAAAAACAAAATAACCTACCGAAAGAACAAAAAAGACACCAAATTTATACTAGGTTTATGAATATAAGGTTGCATTCGATTAGGAAATCCGGATATCGGATTTTGCAATCGAACGCAAAATCTGAAAACAGATTTCACCTCCGATAAAACTGTCCTTAGGGTGGATTTCAATTAAGAAATACAAATCCAGATTTCCAGGATTTCCTTTTAACCATTCGATTGGGAAATCCGAAAAAGGATGTTCGCAAAACTATTCTCGTGAACAACAGTATTTTTTGGCTAATAATGTGTGCTTGTGCAAGACTGCTGTTCTTAAGGACAGTTTTTCAAATCCTTTCTCAGATTTCCCAATCGAACGGTAAAAAGGAGATCCAAAAACATATATCTCAGCATCGAAATCCATTTTTGGATTTGGCATTCGATTGCAAATCCGAAATCCGGATTTAAAGATCTAAATCTAGATTTCCCAATTGAATGCACCCTAAGTATGCTTTTAGCATGATTTGGATCACTGTATAAAAATCATACTGTCTTACATCAAGTTTGTACCATTGATACAACACTTACAATCAAATTCTTTGCCTGATACAGAAAAACACATATCTCTTCAAAGGTGCTGGCAATTATCTCCAACTTCTCAGTATCAAATGCTTGATCTCGTTCAGCATTAACTATTCCTGATGTTGCCATGGTAACATCACCTTCTGGTGACAATATACCAGCTGTCTCCTTGGGCTCAGTGCCCTCTCCAGCTGAATCGGATTCAGCCTCTGGAGGTCTGGAACTGGATGTGGTCTCCACAATCCTGGACACAAAGAAAGAATAAACAGTTTTTATGCCCAAATTAAAGTAGTTTGTCTACCACACAAAATGCCAAAAATTTCTATTCACAACCAAGCACCAAAAAATTACTTAATTCACCATTTTCACTGAGAGCATATTACACTTTGTTTATCCACCGCCCCACAAATTTTACAAAACAACTGTTTCCAGTTTCTCCTGGGTATTACGGTCATTCCAAGAGATATAAACAGACAATGGTTACAAAAAGAGCAAAATTTTGGGGGGTAAGTAAGGTGAATTATGGTCAAATGAGATTAATTTTGATTTTTTTATGAATTTTAGATTACAGACAATCAGGTCTGAAGGTAAGGGGGCTGGGTGGAAAGAAAGTTATCTTTCTTACTTGTCTACAGTTTTCTGAACAAGTGCAAGCAGTTCATACAAATGAACTTTACGGGCTAAGGAAGAAGCAGCTTCTGCTACACGTACAGTCTGAAAAAAGATTGTCAAAAGAAATCAAGATTAACAGGAGCTCTATAATAGTATTATTAATAGAAGTTGTGTTAAACTAATGTTTCAATTCTTACATCATGATCATTAACTGGGTTCGCCCAATATATACAAAAAAAATACTGAAGCTACATTACACAAGTAAAAGGAAGAAAAGTGAAATAAAGTATTATTTTTTTTTATAGTTTTGCGACTGACCTTGAGGGCTCCATTTCAGCTTTATGAGGAAATTACAAAAAAATACCAGATGCAAGTGCTCTCATAAAGTTATAAATGATACACAAATCTACCTGTCAGCAGTGACATTGCATCTTGTAAGATGAAAAAAATTAACCTTGATTTAGCTCCTTTGAATACCTGATCTGCCAGAAGAAACTCAACAAGTAGTTGGTAGCTCTTAGATTCTTGTTTGATGTCAAGTCCTTCATCTTCATTTTCCTAAATAGTTCAAAACAAAACGTTAACAGTCAATGAGCTCATAAGTCATTTTGAATTGCCCATGAAACACTGGGGGGTATTTTTAGTAAAAATCATTATGACAAAAATTCATTAGAAAATTGAGTAATTATTGTAATGTTCCGTGGACAAAAACCTTGTACCAGGATAATTTCAAGCATAATTATTTTGATCCTGAATGAAGAAATGATGATTAAATAGTGATCAAAATACCTTCTCACTGACATCCCATCCAAGAAAGTGCTCCATTCCAACAGACCAATCAGTGGTGTTGTCAATGGCTGTAAAGATAAATATCATTAGTAAGTAACTAACAGGTGATTTTGTTACCCCCACATCTCGTGTCCCTGCATGACACATACAAATTCCCATCCAGGAAAAGTTGAAAATCACTTTCAATTTTATTTCTTACTTTTTTCTCCACTCAATATTGTATTTAATTTTGCATGAAATTTTTGTAAAGCGTTTTTGATTACATCTGGAAATTTCATGAGCTGAACCTAATACTTTTGATAAAGTGAATAAACAGTTCAGCATCTGAATTAATAATTAAGAATGCCTGTTTCAATTTGTGATGGCTCAGGTGTTCTTCCTGCCTAGCCTGGCTGGGAATTTTGGGTTTGGAGCAGCTTTGGAACAGCTTTGATTGAGATGCCAAAGTTTTCATTTCCTGAACCTAATGCATAAAATAAATATTATTATCACACATTTTGCAGTTTGATTGAAATGAGCATTTCTCTCCTTTTTAATTTCATTCAGCTGGAATAAAGTTCAGGTACTGAATCAATTCTGCAGATCTAGTTTGGGTCTCAATTTGAATTAGAGTTCGGCATCTGAACCAGGCTTAATATATTTATAATTTGCCAGAAAAGGGTTTCTGAAGAAGTTTTCGAATGATCAAACAGAAGCATCTTCAGTAAAACACAGTAAGTTGAACAACTGGAGAGGTGGACAGTTCTTTCGGCAAAATAAATCTCTGTCTATTAGTCAGATAGTAATTTATAGCGCAATTCATTTTGTAATTGTAATTGTAATTGTAAATATCTTATCATCCACTCCCCTCAGGGCTTTTCAGGGATAATTTACAACACTGGTTGGGGGACTTTGCCAGACTGCTTAAGGTGCAGTTTACAAGTAATGAAGGAATGAGTAATGATGCCCCCATACATGAGTGTGAAAGTGAGATAGACCACTACACCGGGCACTACGTGCCCTACTCTTTACGAAGAGTGTGTGGGTTCTTTAACGTCCCACAGATTTAATACATGTGCAAGGGCTTGTGAGACGGGGCCTACGGTTTATCGTCCTTATCCGAGAAGACTAGAAAGTCTAGCCGTTTGCAGATATTATTACAAAGGCAGCACTTTCTCCTCAGTTATTTAAAGACCCTGAGTGTTGGTCCGGCCGGGGTTTGAACCCGCGACCTCCCGCTCAGTAGACCGGCACTCTCCCAACTGAGCTAACCAGGCGGCGGTTGTTCATTTTGTGAACAACAGGGGCCAGAGGCTTTCAGAGTCTTCTGGAACTGAACAAAACTAAAAGCAGAAACAGACTGGTCACTAACCTTGCAGAATGAGTAGTTTCATTGATGATGACATGTGCTCTGTTGTGAGAAGTTTACCAAGAGCTTCCTGAACCCCTGCATCCTAATAAAATGAGCCACAAATTTGCCTAAACAATCCTGTTTCTGAATTATGCAGCTCAAGGTTGAACATTCTTAGATGCTAGTATTAAAGCAGATTGTTTGTCCTTAAGATTATTGTTTGTTTTTCTTTTTTACCAAGAAGAGTGCAGTTGCATGTTAATAGAGTACCAAATTGTGACGTCATAAATACGAAATTTCTGAAATCATGGGATTTGTCAGGATATTCTGAAAGAACAATGTCCAAGAGGCCTACTTGCCAAAAGTGAGCATTTCGGGGCAAATTGTCTCCGAGATGTTAGGCGGTTATACTCAGAAAAGTCTATACAAACCCTTCTAATTTTTTGGGGGTCGACCAAAAAAAATTTAGAAGGGTTTGTGTAGGCCTCTTGGACATTGTTCTTTCAGAATATCCTGACAAATCCCATAATCTCAGAGACTTAATTTTTATGATGTCATCACTTTAGTACTCTATTGATGGAACATTTGAAGTCTAATCTCATAGTACTAGCTTAAGGGTGATAAAAGAAAAAAAATTCTGGTTACAAAAGGAAAATTAACTTACTATAAGCACAGAAGCAATATGTGTCCCACATGAGCACAAGGCACCAATCAGCTTAAGTCCTGCTTTAATCAACCGAATATTGGCCTGTGAATGGAAATACTTGAAAGTGACTTCATATTACAGTGATAGAGGTTGCTACATGTAGTACAAAATACATGTAACACCCGCAAGGGTGTGCTCTAAGAGAAATTGAGGGGAGCCCAGTGCTCTGAACTTGTGAAATCCAGGGTGCCCAGCATATGATTTGTATGAAAAAAAGTAAGATAATCTAGTAGCCCAAGAACAAAATACATTAATCAGTGTTCTCACCAGGCCATGGCCTTGCGGGATTCCCGCAAGAAAAAACTGAAATGGCGCATTAAAACCAAGAAGATGCGCCCGTTAGGGCGCAAGGGCAAGCTACGAGTCAAACGGACTTAAGTAGTTTTAATGGTCACCCTAACACTAAAGCATTCTGTTTGTTTGAATAAATAAAAAAACATGATATCAAATGAGTCAAAGTCTTTAATTTTGTTGCCTTTACTTTCATTGGTCCCACGCACGTCCCACTACATCGTAACCTCCTCCTCCGAATTGTAAACACCTCTTCCGCCATATTGGATCAGGTAGGTACTTCATGTAACAGACAATTTGGAGTGCGGGCTCAGGTTCTTCGTACAGCGTTTTTTTTGTAACTTTGTCCCCCTAATGTTCTTACAGGGCCCCTATTTCTCAGAAGAGGGGGCCCTGGGACTCCCCAAGACAAAATCCTGGTGAGAACACTGATTAATAATAATTTATGCAATTGGTTTGGTACATGAAAAGTCCCGCGTCTGAATCAAAGCCATTCCAAAGTCGATCTAAAGTCAAATTTCTTGGCCGCGCTAGGCAGGAAGACCAGTAAAGCCTTTTCAAATTGAAATGGGTGTTTCTAATTGATTCAGATGCGGAACTTTTCATGTTTTTAATTCAGTGTATTGGGTTAAATCCATGAAAAGTTTGGCATCTAAACCGGGCCTAATTCCATTGTTTTTCTCGATGTCTTAATGCAACCAACTTTTTAAGAATGCCATAATGATGGTGGCTGCCTATGTTCAAAACAACAAAGCTACCAAGAGGCGTTAAAAGTGTGCAGTACTGCATGTATAACTGGAATAAAAAGTATGACATAACTGCATGCTTCCTTCAACTACCCTTTGGGCTACTTCCGGCCTTAAGAGCTCCAAGCCTTGCTGAATCTCTCATTCATACCTTAAACATGCTTCACTCCCTCACGCAGAGTGTGCCATAGGTTTTTTTAATGCAGGAGAATGTATTGATTTAGTAAAAAACTTACAGCTATAGGAAGTTTCTGAGCCATCTCTATATCAAGTGAATACATGATCCATTCGATCAGCTTTTTCATCACACCTATTTAAAAGAGGCAAAAATTAAGTGGTTAGACAAATTAATGGCGGAGAAGAATAAACTTTTCATGGAAAAACTTCATCATTTACTTCACGAACATAAACGGTTGTTGAGATCGGGAAGTGATTACAGTTTTTCTTACTTAACTGTTACAAGTGGTTGATTTTGTAAATGTTATATATTTACATTTACACTATATTTACTTCTTTATATACATCTAGTTTTCTATTTATTTGCAATTTACCACTGACTGCTGTACCCCTTATCTCCGCCCGCCTCGCTAGCACCTGCTATTTGAAGGCGGAAATGGTCTTTATGTGAATGATTATTGTTAATAATAAAGTGGGTGTGTAAAGTGTGAGTATATAAAACTAGAAAAAAATGCAGAATGTACGATACAGTTTTAAATAACAGTAACACACCTTCTCTCTGTTCATTCCTTGTAAGATAAGCCTGCGAAAAAAATTAAAAAGTACTACAGATGTACATGTACAGGCAAAACTATCACTGAAGGTTTTCACACATTTTCTCATGTATGTTGTGGAGCTATACATGAGTTCTGGGATACATGAGCAGTAGCACTGTTGTAATAAACCTGCTATAAAACCTGGGATTTCATTAGAAGCTGGGACCAGGGTACTGGCTGTGTACAGTAAAGTACCTGCCCCGCCAAACACAAAAATCAACTTTCAAACCAACTTTCCCTGCCTAATCAACCTTGGGCAATCTTTCACTTTAAAAAAACGTACAAAAGTCTTTAATTTTTGTACATGAAAGCATTGGACTTGAAAACTCACCAGTCCTGGAACAAGAAGTTTCGGAATTTCCTCAAGTAGCTCAATCCATCTGTGGAAACAAAGGATAAGTGGCATCCACATTTCAAAAGTTTCCTTTGCACAAAAAAGTTTCCTTTGTTAATAATAATTTTGAATGCAAGAAATTATCAGCCAGAAAAAATGATCTTGCAGAACAAGGTGAGAAAAAAATTAGGATATTTCAGGGTAACATTTGGAATAATAAACTTGTCTAAAACAGGGTCCAATTTAGAGGTTTGTCTAGCACATATAATTATCCTCCTAAAACCTAACCAGGCATTCCTGGGGAGCTACATTTGTACAACAAGTTGAAAAAATGTTGAGACACTCCAACCTTTTTTACTTCAAATTGCTGCTAGTCACACATCTGTGTATTAAAGATACAACACTGCATGGTTTGTTACTGCCATTTTTGAAAAATGGGCCGGGTATCATGCATGGGAAAATCATGGACAGGCCATTTAAGCACAAATAAGTTAGAGTGTCTCAAGAATTTTTGCAATTGGCTGTATCCTCACACGTAGGTTATAAACAAGATTCATTGGATCATGTTTCAAGGAATTCAGGCTGCAAGTAAAGGAATAATGTCATAAGTGTTCTATAAAGCTGGAAAGGAGAGATCACTAATATAATTTATCATTCCTAAAAAACAGGAGCATCAACTCACTTTAAATTTCTCTCAGAAGTGCAACACAATTCAACTTGCTCAAACAATGCTTGTCCCTAAATTTGTTAAAACACAAGAAAAATTATCACTTTAAACAAACCAAAGACAGGTGACAAGAAAAATAGCAAAATGAAAAGTTAGACTCAAGATGTCAAATTTTTAATTAGAGACAAGCTTCACATACCAAGTTTGTTTGCTGTTCATCTGGTGAAGCTAGGAAAAGAAAAAAAATATTAATTATTAGAAGAGGCTTTGCATTGAAGCTATGGCTCACATGTATGCAGACCAGTGGTCAACTGTGTCATTGATTAAGTACTGATTTAGGACACTGTTTGCTATTCTTTGTATGGAAAAGGCAGTACCTTCTGCCTCATCTCCATTTTTCAGAAACCCAGGGGCAGTTGGTTTGGGCAGGAGAAATGGTGCAATGAAAGTTCTCAAACATGAGTGGAAGAGCAGATTCTTCTGTTGGTTCCCCAACCCAATTAACTGACCCTGGGTATCCCAGGATGCCTCATTTTAAGACCTAAAGTACTAGTCCACCGTGGGAGATCAAACCTGTGATCTGCTGCTCTGCAGACCAGTGGTCAGTTGTTCAAAAGGTTTATAATGCTATCTGCTGGATAAATCTCTATCCAGTGGATCACGCAACTGTTTTCCCTATTTATTTATGCATTGTATAGTGCTATTTTATGTTTGAACAACTGGAGCCAGCCCTCTACCTGAGCTGTCATAATGATGAGGAACACTCATCAGACTAGTCTTCATCATCATAGACTAGGAAAGCAAAAAGGAGTTAGAGGAAGATCTTACTTGATTCATCCCCTGCTTTCACTACTGCTTTTTCATGTTCTGTGCAATCAGGAGGACTGAAAGCCTGGAACAAAACAACAACAAAAACAATGACATTAAAAGAAATATAAAGACAAATCTTTAATTGGCCTGCAAGCAGCCTCAACATTGGCTAGTGGATACAAAATAAGATCTACAGATGTATTAATTTTAGTAAATGCCTACCAAGGAACCTTTACATGACTTAAAAAGTTCCACCCAAAATTCCATTTTTTTTTCATAAAATTCTAAGAAATAAATAGCACTACCTGTACGCCAAAGTTGTACAAAATATGTGTCATTTGAGTGGTAACACCATGTGATTTTGTCTACAGATTTAAAAATCACACTGATCAAAGAATCTGTTCATAATGTGATCTGGAAGTGAAAAGGTTAACCACTTATTTGTTCTAGTTACATGCATCAAGTCTAATAACTCCACCTCCAAGCAGGCAATAACATAAGGAAACAGTGGGAAATTAACAACAAAGTCATGGTTGGATGATTAACTTACAGCCAAAGGTGATAAGTCACATTGATAAGGATTGAAACTGACAGATACTGACATCCACGCATCTTCACTGTACAAATCCAGATCACTAAACTGTACATCCTGAAACAAATCAACATCAAAATTTATCATTCCTTTTCATTAATTACAAATTAATATAAAATAAATAAATAATTTTTTATTAATTGATTATTAAGGGCATTATATTAATCCTCTAAAAAGAGAATTTGCACAAGCCCCATTTTCCTTGTAACTTATTGCATTCTTTGAGTTTTTATATGTTCCATTTTGATGTATGAAGCAGCTCCTAAAATTAAAGTGTCACAAAGTCTCTAGAGCAGAAATGGCCAGAAATGCTAATATGATACCTAAAACTAACTTAAAACATTAGATGAAAAATAAAAATAATTTATTTCTTATACTCACAGCATCATCCAATGTTCCATCATCCATATCCTAAATTCAAAAAATTAAAATTTGAATTAAAATAAATTTTATGTAACGAGTCCCTACAAGGTTTTCAAAATTTAACTCCACTTGGAAACTAACCTCTTCATCACTAAGAATCTCTTCATAGCCATCCTGTAAACAAAGATAATAAAGTGTAATGTTAAGATCACACTGGAAAAACTCTACTTGATACTGTATGACTGAAACAATGTACATGCAAAACCGTTTCCTGCCAAAATTCTCTGAGCAGGAGGAGACTTTTGACATTACAAAATCTACGATGTCAGAGTACCCACCAATGTTGACTGCTCACTAAGATTTACTTTGATGCATAAAACTGTACATGTACAGGTTTTTCTTCATGGGCAGTATAACAAATAAACTAATTAATGGTCCCTCAAAAACTAGTTAATTTTGTTTCCTTTGAACCTTAATGTTTCCTTCAGCTGTGTCTCAGGAGACATTCTTGAAAAACAGAATTAACTGTTTCTCTCTGGGGTTGTCATCAAGTCTTTCAAAAAGGGGGCAAACAACCACCCAGGTGGCTTGACTTGTTACTGCCACTTAAAAGAAAAATTAATATTTAACAATAATTATTGATAAAAATCAATGTAAACTTGTAGCCAACAAGTTGCAGCAAAGTACAGGGTTCATACAGATTTCTGGATCCAAATTTCAAGACTCTTTTGAGATGTTTTTCAAATTAACAATATTATTTCTTTTTCCAGGTTCAACATTAAATAGGTGATCAATAGAGACCTTAATAAACACAAGAAAAAAGCTTTTTTGATGATGCGTTGCAAACGTACAGGCGAGATTGAATCAGCCTTGACCAACACACACACAAAAAATTTAACTTGTTATGCACTTGTTGTAGATTGCCAAAAAAAACACACAACTTTTTACCACTTTTTCAAGACATCTCTATTTTGCAGACTTTTTCGAGGTCTGGAAAATTGCTGGGCAAATTTCAAGACTTTTTCAAGAATTCAAGACTCTGTATGAACCCTGAAAGAAGTCCCTGAAAGCCTGGTTTAAATGTTGTAATGAGTTATTGTAATCTTGCCCAATAAAAAGTTTACACACGCAGCTCAGCAAATACAAATGTAAGAAAATTTTAAAATAGTGTGTAATTTACCAACCTGGTCCTCAACATCATCCTCATCAGACATAAACAAGTTTGATGGAGATCTGTCAGGAGTAAGTGGCTCAAACAACTCATCCTGTGATTGATTCCCAGATTCCTCTTCAGCAGGTTGCTAAGAAACATTGAGGCAAATTTGTCATTTTCTTGAAGTCTTACTGTAAAAAACTTCACATTCTAAGGAAGTTCCACTTTTTTAGGAAATCCATAAAATCTTAGTAAAAAAAACAAACCAAAAATTCTATCAACTTGTGGGTAAAAAGAGGCCCTGCCATGGAGGGAGGGGTCCCATGTCGCCAGTCTGAATTTTAAAACGTCTCGTGTCGGTGTTTATAAATGCTTGTCGCTTCTTGTCGGCTTTGCCGTCACCATCACAATTTGGCCAAGGGAGGTTGTCTCTTGTCGCGATTTCATTTTACGCACTGTCGCTACTTTTTGGGCCATGTTGCTTGTCGGAATTAACCCTGGCAGCGCCTCTAAAAAGGGAGTAAGACTGATCACACCATACTTGATACATGTAGCTTTTCATGCTGACACAAAAAGCTATTCAGTATAGTAGGAAAATCTCTACAAAATATGACCCTCCACTTTAGAGATTGGCCCAACACAGCTTCGATCTGTTATGGAAATCCTGTTAAAATCACCATTCTTATGTGAGAACAGAAGCCTTAACTGGTATGGTTTTTGTGACGGCAAAAAAGCTACTCGGTGTGATGTGAACAAAGCTTAAGAGAGCTACATGTATCTGCTGTTGGTTAAAACAACTTAAAATAATCATATGAACCTCCTCCCTGGGTGATCCTGGTGGGGTAGTCGGCTTAGCAGCAGTACTCTCACCAACAGTAGCCGTAACAGTTGTGGGTGATCTTGAGGGTGACCTTGTGACTGGTGGTGATTTCATAGGAGTCCTTTCTTTCTCCCTAATATTTCTCCTGTCATCCCTTCCAGACAAATGGTCCTCATACTTGTCCCTAGAGTCTGACAGTCTCTCAGAGGGTCTTTCACTCAAGCCTCTCTCACTAATGCCAGAGCCAAAAGGACCTCTTTCAGCACTCCTTTCTCTTCTCAATGGTCTCTCATGAGCTCTTTCAGCTCTTTCTGGGACTCGTTCAGAAGGTGCCTTCTCAGATGCCTGGTCCATTCTTTCGGAATCTCGCTCGGGGTGCTTTGGTTCTACTTTAACAACTGGCCTCTCTACTCTTGGTTCAGGGCGTGGCTCTTGAGGACGTTGGTTGACATCGGTAAAGAAACCATACAAGCTAATGGTGATCCTGTTGTACCATCCACGCAACACAACAACATCAGTGGCACCCTGGCAACAATATAATGTCCAGTTATAATAACCAGTTTAACTAATCAAATAAAGAAATTCCATACTGATGAAGTCTCACTACCCAGATGCAGGTAGTGCGTCATATTGCGATATGTCATCAGTATGGAATTTCTGTACTTGTTCCTCCTGGGGCAGATCCAGGATTTTTCTTAGAAGGAGAGCACCACTAAGGAACTACCATTTTAACTACCATTTTTATGGCGTTTAACATAAATTCTTCAACCCTGTCTCTTGTTTTACTTCAACACCAATAAACCACAAAGACAAGTGTTTTTTTTGGTAGATATCCAGTTGCATTAGAAAGCCACAGGTGATCTCAGGGGGGGGGGGGTGGTGCACACCTCTTACACTCTCCCTCTAGACCCGCCCCTTTTCCTCAGATGTCATTTCATGGGGGAACCAGTGGTGGCATTGCATTGGCTTTTTGTCAAGGCTATAATTTGGGCTAACCTGATTTTTCTTCGGGAAAGACTTTGCTAATACGCCAATAGAAAAGAAAGATTGATTGCTTTTGAACCAGTCTGAAAAGAAAGAAAAGCAAGAAAAGGAGAGAAAAATTCTCCAGTACAACCCACCTTAGAATTTGTAACCATCTGGAAGTTGTTTGGTTCTTTGTATTCAAGTCTATGTGGAAAAATAGTTAAAAGTAATAAGAAAACATATTCAGAGTAAGAAGAGAAAAATTTTGCTATCCACTTGTCCTTTGGATAAGGACTTAATTTAATTCGGTTGTCCGAAACCCAAGAGTTTTTGTCCAAATGGTTTTGCTCAAAACTCGAAACTCAAAAACAGTCGAGCCAGTCTGGTGACTAAGGTCAGGTTCCTAAACCTGAAATGGAGCAAAAAAAATGAGGCGGCCTTGGAATGGCAAAGTTAACAGGAATATTTAACCTTAGTTTGTCAAGTATGAGGTAGATAAATTTCAGTTCCACTGTAATTTGAAGTAATAATTATATCAAACATGAGATGCAGTGTTTCATCACCAGATGAAACACCGAGAAGAGAGTTGAAAATACGACGCGCAGCGGAGTATTTTTGACGAACTTCGAGGTGTTTCATCTGGTGATGAAACACTGTGTCGAATGTTTGATATTTCTTCTCAAACAAAATCATTTTTGAAGGAGAAATTAAGGATGCAAAAATGAGCAGTTTTTCATCAGATATCCAAACACTCATTAAACATTAATTTCCTTTGAATTTTCTTTATGAATTATTAATGAGTTTGAGAAGTCAATTTTCAACTGTCTCTGTATTTTTTCTAATTAAAATGTCCTTGTCCCACAGACAACACATGTCAAAGGTTAACATTTCTCAACTAAATCAATTGGACATAGGTTATGGTGTACCATGATATAACATAGAAAAACAAAGGGACACTCCCTACACAACTAACATTACTTTTCCACGTCCTAAGACAAGTCTTAATTTGTATTCAGAGAAAAACACGAAGGAAAGAGCAAACGAAAGCACTTACTGTCCAAGTCTTTCAAACACCACATCTGAAGGTCGGTCAAGGTTACGAATGAACAGGTCCAGCTTAAAAGATGGTGGATGGGTTTCACTACACGAAATAACAAAAAGAAAATAAAAAAACAGCATATTGGTCAAATAAAACTTCTGTACATATGGCTAGGAAAAGTTTTCCATGACACTTAAATCAGTAAATAGCCATTAACACTGCATTATACTGTGTGGGTAGAAATCTGAAATTTTTCAAATTGATTATTGTTCATTCACCAACTGTTTTAATGGAGTACATGTAAAATACAGGTAAAAGGTGTACTTCAGGTATTAGAAATTCATGGGTGATTGGGCATATCATTACAGCATGAACTATAGGCAAAGCAAGGATGTGCTTAAACAAGACATGTGAATATCATAAAATAATATTACTAACCATGGACATATAAAAAAGATAGAGGAACCTGTAAGGAACTACAGATTGAAATGATGGAGACTTGTGAGGTGGTTCTAACTTTTGAGTCTGTGACTGAAAAATAATATCCCATCGTGTGACAATTCAAATGAAACCTTCTCAGCAGTTCTTTCAAATGGTACTGCTTCTTCAATACATGTATGTAGTTCTAACTTTTAAGTTGCAAGATTTGACATACCCCATTTTGTCCCTTTCGCTGACTGCGGCATGGACCCTGTGTCCCGCAGGTATCACTCTTACTTCCTGAATACATACAGGCCTTGGAAAGCTAACTAAATCCAGATGCATTTCCTATAAAGTAGTGGAGGCAATTAGAAAAGTTTATTGCAGGTATATCCTGTTCTCATTTTGAATCAGTATTTAACCTAGTCTTATTCAGATTTTGGTTTGTTTCCTAGCTCTAATTAATCATAGAAGTCTAAAAAACTTCTTGTTTAACCTAAGCATGGATTTACAGTGAAATTCGTTGTATTGTGCTGCACATATTGCAAACTTCGAAGGGATTTTGGGTTTGTCTGTTCCATCAATCATTTTAGTGAAGACGGGGTTAATGCACATCACAATGTAACATGCTGAGAATGACTCTAGACTGCTCAAGAATAATGAAGGAAATGGCAAAGGTGAGTGGGTTTTTTGTCAAATGAAGGAGGCAGGCGTTGCTTTATTCTAGCAAGTGACAGGAATAAGAAAGATCAGAAAAATCTGTGAAGCAAACTTAGCTAGTTTATTATTGCCCAAAACAGGATGATCACAAAGCAATGAACCTTAAAACATGAAACATACAAAAAGGATCTAGACTGCTCAAGAATAATGAAGGAAATGGCAAAGGTGAGTGGGTTTTTTGTCAAATGAAGGAGGCAGGCGTTGCTTTATTCTAGCAAGTGACAGGAATAAGAAAGATCAGAAAAATCTGTGAAGCAAACTTAGCTAGTTTATTATTGCCCAAAACAGGATGATCACAAAGCAATGAACCTTAAAACATGAAACATACAAAAAGGATCGAAATCCACCAATCACGAATCACAAACCATAGACTTTCAGACTCGTGCAAATAAACATGTGTTTTCTAAGATGATTGATGGAACACAAGAACCCAGCGAATTTCGCTGTAAACTTCAAAAACATACATTAAAATTTTGCTGACCTGAATGTCATAAAAGGAAGAAAGAAGCCCTGTATTCTGTAGTTACATGTATGCTTAAGACCCTTATTATGTAGTTATGCCAGAAAGGTCGTTTCAGAAATTCAGTCCTATGAACTTCTGACGTGGATTAACATTAGCATGTAAGCATGCAGCTTTGAAGTCGTCTTTGCTCTGTTTGCAAACTTAATAACCTGACGCAGATCACCACGAGACACTTGCACTGTGAACTTACAAATTATACTTGAACGTAATTACTTGCTATGACCGTAGAATTGACGTGGAAATCATACGTGCACTTCCATCACACACTCAAAGGCCTAATGTTACTTTACCTCATTTTCTGGATGGCTAAAAGTGTCACAAAATAACAAGACGGGCTCCACAACTTCAGGCAGAATGGCCGCCATGTTGTTTCTATTCACCACAATCCCCCGCGGCCATCCCCAGCGCTCGAGATGAGTGCCGTCATGTAACACGTATGAATCGTACCGCAAAATATTAGAGCTATATTTCTTTTCTGGGTTGGTTTTTCATTGCGGTCAAGTCTCTTCTCATGCTCTTCTGGAAATTACGGGAGTCTTGAAAAATTTGCTATTAGTCATGTTAGAATTTTAATACATATATCGAATGAGGGCTATCAAAGGAACCCATCACTCATCATCAGGCCCCGGTTGTTCAAACGTTGGATAGCCCTATCCGTCAGATAAATCACTATCACCAGTGGATAAGTACTGTATTTATTCAATTAGCCGCTCTAGGCGCTTATTAAATTTTTGGATCTTGAGAGGGGGCGCTTATTCGAGGCTGGGCGCTTATTAAGTTTTCACCATTTTGTGTAGTATGTTTATTTTGCAACAAAACAATAAATGCTAATAATAACAATAGAAAAAAAACAGCGAAGAGTAACAAAGCAAGGTTTCTGTGACATACTCCAAAGAAAACTCCCTCCTTGGGAAGTCTCTTATAGGTACTTATTCAATTTCAATCTCATTGTCACTCAAGTGGGTGGGGTGGGGGTGGGCGCTTAACTGAGTTTGATTGGGAGGAGGAGGGGGTGGAGGTGGGGTGGGCACTTATTAACTTTTTCTGCATTTAGGATGGGTGCTTATTCAAGGTGGGGGCTAATTCGAGGTTGGGCGCATATTCAAATAAATACAGTATTAGAGAAACCAATTGCCCTACCCAGTGGATAGATTTTTATCCGGTGGATACCGTTATCCAATGTCTGAACAAGCAGGGCCAAGAGCCTGTATTATATTGTTGAACATTGAATGTCTGCTAGTAATTATGTCAAAATCCAACCAGTAAACTCTCTCTCCGATCTTTCGCCATTTATACCGGGTTGGAGGAGGGGAGAGGGGTACTGAAATATATTTCACAAAAATAAGAGACTTTGGATCTAGAAAAGGGTATCATTTCCAAGGAACCTGGCCCCAGTTGTTCAAAACCTGGATATTGCTATCCACTGTCTGGATAAATCTCTATCCAGTGGATACGTATTAGGGAAACCAATATTACTGTACTATCCACTGGATAAGATATTTATCCGGCCCCAGTTGCTATCCATCAGGTAAATCTCTATCCAGTGGATACGTATTAGGGAAACCAATATTACTGTACTATCCACTGGATAAGATATTTATGTGGTGGATAGCATTATCCACCTTTTGAACAACTGTAGCCTGATCAGTTAGTTGAAGATTGTAGTCTAGATTAGGGAAACTGGGAATTTGCACTCACAAAAATAAAATCTGCAAATCTAAATTTACCCATGACATCACCCCTGCATAGACATCAGTATTTTCTGGAAAATAGGAACGGAATTTAACTTCTGGTTAAGCCCATCTGTCAAACAGCACTGAAACCCTTGTTCTGAGCCCCCACCTGTGTACCAGGGTTTGAGTATACGCTATGATTGGCCATTGTTGATTTGCCAGTCAGGTTTAAGGGAAATTTGAAACGCATTTCCAGTAATCTGTTGAGCCCACTGGGGCTCAGCACAACGACCTTGGCAGTACCTCTCACATGTTACTAGCCTGGGGAAGGCTGCAAAATGGCAAATCCCACACGAGGCTATCCAGAGAGTTTGCTCACAGGCTACAAATGACAAACTGACGAAAGTAGCACGGTCAGGTTGCAAGGATGCACAAGCCCATAAAAACACTGAACCGATGACAAAACTGAATGCTATGTGTCATTTACTATTTCATTTTTCAGTGAAAAGGGTTAACCAGGCAAACACCCACTGAAAATCTCTCGACGGGCATTGATGTTACCAAACATGCATCATTGACATAAGCCTGCACCACAGACAAAACTAAACTCTGGTTAAGTCCGTCTGCAAAAGAGGCTGTGCCAAAATCCTTGGTCAAGGTCCCCACCTGTGTACCAGGATCTGAGTAGGCACCATGATTGGCCTATTAAAAAAGTCATTGTTGATTTGCCAATCAGGTTGAAAGGAAATTTGAGTCTGTTAGGGGCCCAGAACGAGGATATCAGTGCTACTTTGCAGACGCTACTAACAGGGGTTTAATTAAGTCTGCGATGCAGGCTACCACGTTTGGAGACTGGTAGGAAAAAGACAGTGGGGTTCAACAGGAGTAAAATGGCAAAAGCCTTATTCTTCCCATCTCATCTGTTTTTAACCTGACTTTTAGCAGGAATGACTCACCCAGAGTTAATAGTTTACCTTGTACAGCTTCTACACGCACAGGGTGTCAACACCCTTCACGACTCTTCATTCCAATTTAACAGTCACTAAATAGCAGCAGGGAAAAGCCTATTCCTCAGGCAGTGGTCGAGACATTACATGAAGTATGTTGGTGTGGCTTTAAATTACCCTTTGCCAATCAAAGGTTCTTCTGAATGTGCTCAAAATGGATTTATTTTGGCATTAACTTTAACCCTCAACTTCGGACACCCTCATTTACAAAGTTTAAAACAACTCTCTTTATCACACCCCGAAACAACACAAAAAATACAAGTTACGTTTTCTCCTTTTCAACTTTTTAATATAAACATTATTTACAAATATATACTTTCATTTTTCCTGGTTTTCATTTTTACTCTTATTTTTTTTATTACAAACATTTTCTGGATTGTTTCAAAAGGAAGACACCTCCTGTAAAGTAGCATTTATGTACACAAAATGTGCTACATGGATCTTTGAGTAAGGGAAACTTGAGTAAAGCAAGTTTAATACATGGCAAAAAAGGAACAAAATGATTACATCATTTTCAATTCTTTGGTTAAAAGTTCCAATTAACCATTTTATCTTTAAAGTTAGGGGAAGGATAACAAGGGCATCTCAGTCATCTTGATCTCAGCAACATCTTCATCCGCACACCATCTTCTATAGCTAAAAGACTAACCTTATTGATTACCTACATACAGTAGTCCAGTAGGGGCTCTCCAAAGCCTCATTGACATGGCTGAAGCAGCTTTATTTGCATGAAAGGAAAAACGACTGTTTGTCAGTTACAATGTTTCTTTGGATTGAGGAATAAAACTTGACCTTTCAAATAGTTAGACCAGTTTCTAACATGGGTCAAGGATGAGAGTGCTGGCTTTGGGAATTTTGCTTGGTTTGTGAAACAGTAGAAAATGTGACATGTTTACAAAGGACCAAGGCAAAATCAAGATCATGTTTCAAGGAGCAATACAAAAAAACCAAAATATTATAAAAAAAACATTACAAGAGTCAAAGACAGTATGGTATACTGTGAGTAACAAAATGGCCAGAAGCTTACATGACCAAAGCACAGCTGTTTTAAGACTTGAAAATATTGTTTGCCATGTGTATCCAGAAGGCAACAAGAAAAGCACAGCACAACCAACCTTTGTTGAACTTTGACACACAACTTACAGATTCAATGACGACTACCCTATGAAAGTCTACGCAGTACTATGGAACTCCTTTTACAAAATGCCTTGAATAGGCAAACTACAAAAGTTTCTTACTTAACACCTACACACTGTTTGAAACTTGTTTAAACTCTTCAAAAGGTCAAGTTTTTATATCCAGGGAATCTGATACTTTACCATTTAGTTTTTAGAAGTCTGTTCTGTGCACTGTTGACAATAACTTGCCGTAGGTACTTCCGTCTTGCTCTGCACCTGAAAAGGAAAAAGAAAGACGACGAGTGCGTGCTGCCAATAATGTATGAAAATTATACTGCTTATATCGTAGCAGGTTTTTTTGGTGCTTTTTTTGCTGATGTTTTTCATCTACTATGTCTCGACCGTGAACGAGTTTAAACCTTAGTTGGGTTCATTCCCTGTACATAAGTGATGTTCCATGGCATCGGCAATGCAGTTTGACTCCACTTTTAAGTATAAGTATTATACTTGGCCTGTGATACCGACATTTTGTTTTCATATTTACTGCACTCCGCTTTTTGAAGCTATCATCTGACACTTTGCACAGAACTCCAGTGACACTTTGCCATGGCTCACATGGAGGCAGACACCACCAGGGTTGGTAGAATTACGGGTTCTCTTGCTGGGTGTCACTTCCACCACCTCGCTAGCATGCCGTTTCCTGCTTCTGGTGCTGTACTTTTTCCCTTCACAAGTCTTGCTTGCTGTTCCCTCTTCTTCACTCTGAGATGACTGCATAAGTGACGATGTCAAGGAAATTCCAGGTGTGGCTGCAACGCTCTTTATCAAGAGTGAAATCGTACTCTCATTGGCAAGCACACTGCGAAGATATTTCACCTCATCTGAAAGCTTTCTGATCATGGTGGTCATTCTTTCGTTTCGAGTTTTCAATGTCCTGTTATCCTCTTGTAACTTTTTAACATTATTCTCAAGTCCTTCTACGTATTTTTTCTTCTTCTGTCGGTTCTCCCTTGCTGCAATGGCATTCTTCTTGTTTTTTTCGATGATGGCTTGCTCCTCTTCAGACGGCAACAGTTTCTTGCCTTTTGGCAAAGCCGTTTGTACATTCGCTTTTGTGGTAGGATTAAGCACCGAGAGAGTCCCATAGCTCGCATTTATTGTTTCTTTTCCAGCTGGAGGTTCCATTGCGGGGATGTTCTCCCTTAAAAGAGCTTCCAAATCAAGGAGGTCTTCGTCGTTTAAACTGAAATCCTCCAGCTCGTCCTTCCAAGTGGAAGGAAAATCCGCCAAGAAATCTTCCATACCAGCATCCACCCCACTGTCCAGACTGTGGGCAGGAGACAACGAAGTCGATATTTCATCACTGTAGGCTGGTTCACCACAAACGTCTATTTCCTCGTCGATCGGCAACTCTTTCTCGGGCGCCATTTTAGCTTCGTCTTCATCTACCGGCTTAGGCGGAAAATCACCGTGGAAGTCTTCCTCAAAAGGCATAACTTTGCAGTAATCGTGGTCCAAAGCAAAAGACATGTACTCTGTGCAACGTTGACTGCCTTTTCGAGTTCAGTTAAAGCGATAATTCTCTTCAAGAAAGCGCTCAATCTCAACTCAACAAAAATTCCTCTGAAACGTATTGAAGACGTTTTGACCACGAGGAAAAAAACCAATGACGTTGAATGACGTCATGTAAAAAGTGCGCAGACTCAATTGTCATGTGATTTCACATGTGACCAATGGTGGTTAACCGCTGTTCAGTAGATAGCGTGGACGCTTAAAAAGATGGCGGACGATTTATTTTGACGGAGACAAAAGATTACCATGATTACTAACTAGTAGTGAATACCTCGAGAATGTTTTGACATCTATGCTACAGTAGCAGCGATATGGGAAAATGAACCGTCTATTATTTCACTCTTTTCCGACACTTCCATGTAAATATTGGGCTCTTGCTTTTACAAGATTTCCGTCAAGATTGTTGCATAACCCTGCAAGTTCTGTAAAATGTTTTACTGCACAGGCAACTTCAGGGACATACAATCTTAATATCAGAAAACTTCTGTCAAATCCTGATGCACAAAAATGTCTCAACTACAATCTGAGAAGATATTTCACAGATTTAACAAGATACTCACAGGTTGGAACAGTTTAATACCTCTTACATTAAGTCTTAATTTTACAGATAAGCTTATTAAAGCTGAATAATTTTGATTATAGCTGTTTTTAAGATTGTCAAGTTACATTCACATAGAATATGGTACACTATGTGAAAATGACAGTTGTGCCTGGGAATAAGAAATATTAATCACTGTACATTAAATTATGGTAGTTTGTAAAAATATGTGACCTCTCATTCAAGAATCTTCCTAATGGTTTGGAAGCTGTTCAAACAGAATAGGTATCAGGTCGAATGGTACAAGCTATCAGTTGGAAAAAAAAAATGATCAGCTATCTCCCCATGAGAACACACTATCAGGAAGATTTTAGAGGATCAGGTTCTAGGTCGCTGAATATTTTTTACCCTGACTTGAGCCTAGTAGAACCTATTTTGCGTATTTGTTTTTTCCTCATTCATACACTGTACCTTCCGATCTCTAATCTACCTGGGTACTCCCCTCTCTTCATCGCTGAGGTCTTCTCTACCTTGTGACAGAATGGTAGAGGGAGGGTTTTTTGCATGTTCTGGTTCTGGGTCTCCAATATTAATTTTTAAAAATATTTTAAAATTTGAATGTTATCTTTAATTACCGGTAAGTTTCCCATTTTTTCAAAGGGTGAAGTTTCATTGAAGAATGTTCATTATCCGTCATTGTATCAATTTTACCTGCTCCTGAAAAGAGATGCTTATAAAATCGGTAAGAGAACAGTTTGCTTATTTAATTTTTTATATTAATTTGTAACACATATTAGCAAGTCAAACTCCAAAAGCTTGTTGTCAAAAATGTGTCATTAAAAATGTCAAATACTCAAGAAGAAAATACAATATTGAATGGACAATATTATTTGTAAAATATTTTTCCTTACGTAAACTACCAGTAGGAAAATATTCTATCATCATTAGTGTACTATGGCCTTTTGTTGTGATTTGTTGCATTTTTCTCAGGTGCTACGACTAGACTATTTTCAACAAGTCATCAGAGAAAGGATAACCAGGGAGAACAACGTCAACAAGGTGATCCCTTAACTGGCTGTTAACACTCTTGCAAAGCAAAATAAGATTTAATGGCAACTTGTACATGGCCAGACTGTGTCCAAAGCTGGAAGCCCAAAAGCTCTTTAGATATCAAATGTGTAGAATTTGCAGCAGTTAAGATTTGAGTAGAAAACTGATGATACCGTGGAACTTCCATTAATGGCCACTCTTCTACAATGGCCACTTTTTTGGTGGAAAGCCCATTTATTGTTTAAACCTCTCTACAACAGGCACTTTCTAGTGTCTTCAAGGTGACCATTGAGGAGTGGTTCAACTTTGATTCCTTAAGTCTTTTACTCCTTGACCACGTTGTGGCACGAAAAATAAAAAATATTGTATGGAGTCCAAGACCTCTCATGCAACCTTTGATATCCAGGTGCCCAGTATTTGTACCAAATGTTACATTTCTCTTTTGTTCAAGTGTGAAAGTAAGTTGCCAAAGGCTGCTTGACTTTCTCTAGTGTCTATGATGACTACTCACTGGTGCTTTTTGTGTTTTTAAGGTAACACTCCAGGACCTTTTGATCCTGACCCAGGAAATCAAGGTGGATGGGTGTCTATTCTGCCCTGGCTGATGCTTGCAGTATTCTACTTCTTGACGGCAGGGTCTGATCCTACCCCAGAGACCACATGGTCAACCTTTTATAGAGAAATGCTTTCTACAGGAGAGGTACTATGCTTAAGAAATATTAGAGTCCCTTTAGAGTCAAGGACAAGGGCAATATTAAAATGTAAGTTTTTTTGCCAGACATTTGAGAACTTGCTTCCACTACTACCACATTCTTGCTTAAAATCTGTAGCAGTGGCGGATCCAGGGATTAACGCTTTAATTTTCATTCTTTCAACAGGGAGGGGAGGGGGGGCTGCTGGCCCCATTTTAGTCAAAAGCGATAGATTTCCCTTATATTACAGCAGGAAACGGCAGTTTTAAATGCCTCAAACCAAACTGAGGCCTGAAGGGCCAAATTCCTTTAGAAAAACAAAACAAGTATTTTTTTTATATATTAAGAAACCACCCCCCTGAAGGACTGATCTAAGGGTCTGAATGACCCCTCCCCCCCTTATCTCAAGGTCTGGATCTGGCACTGCATAGTAGAATGATGATGACAATTTCCCGCTAAAATGACGCTGGTTCTTTCACCCATTCCTCATCTTAGAAAGATAAGCATGCTCAATGCATTTTTGACATATTACGAGCTAGGGCATAACATTTATGGAGTAGTAATAGACTTGTCCACAGTGTGAACATTGTTGACGATTTCAATGATAGTAATGACTATGGATTATATGTTAATGACAATGTTAACCTTCAAGGAGAGAGTACATTGTAGTCCAAAAAGGATGTCTGTTTCTACATTACTTCCAGGTTGAGCATTTGGAGGTGCCATCAAGCCAGGACAGAATTTATGTGTTTTTGCATAAAGGAGCAATGGTTGGGGGGAAAGAGGTAAATTTATGCGGATGTAAGATTAATTTAATTTACTCAGTTCACAAAAACTAAATTTCATCCAAAGAGTGAATGCCCTCTGGTAAACTGGTGCTTGAATTGCTTCATAGTCATGTAGCGGTTGGGTTTCAGTTGGACAAATCCCATCAGAGTCAAGGCAGACTCTGTTATAAATAGGAGCCTTGAAAAAATAATACTTAGATTATTTACAATGCAAACAAGAGTGAAAACAACCTAAAATTATTACAAAACAAACTTAACCTAACTGGTAAAAAAATATATAAAATAATTATAACAAACAGTAATATTTCTATAGACTCTGAAAATTAATAAGAATAAAAATATATGAATAAAAAGGCAGCTATGTGCTCATGGTAGTGTCAGTGTTGCTAAAAGTTGAAAATATCAAGAGCTTTGGTTTATAGATAAAAAGATTAACCTTTTTAAGATACACATGATTGTGTTATTTGTTATTTGCAGATAATGACCCATGGCCCACACTTTGTGTTTAGCATTGCAAGCCTTGACAGTTTTGAACAAAAGATGGCAGCAGCTCAATCTGACCTGCACATCCCATCCAGTGATTATATACCAATCAGATACAGGACAAAGAATGAACTGCTGTAAGCTCAATATCTGATTGAAGGGAATATATATTATGAGAAATCGTTTTTTTTACTTCAAGTTAGCAGGAGGTTTGAGTTATCAAGGGCTCGCTTTTCTGAGGGTAAAATTACAATAAAATTGTGAAGGAAATCCAGGGGAAATTGCTTTTTTTTGGGGGGGTAGCAAGGGGTCAGGTTATTGGGAGTCAACTGTATTAAATATATGCTTACAATATAATAGGTAATCTTTAAATTATAGAAATAAAGAACAGGGCAATATATTTGTCGTGGTTTCAGGATTCTTCCAAAACTGAATTATAAGAATTGCTCAACTAAAGGACTGTACAGTGACTGGCCTGTGTAGATAGGGATATCAGGAGGGCAGATGTGAATCATTTGTTGCTGCAGCTTATTGTGCAATAATATATATTGAGGGTTTTGTGTCATAACAGATCTACTGCTCTGAATGCAGCTGTGTCCATTGCCATCCTGGGTATCATCTGGTACATGATTTATGGCAGAGGGAACAAAAGTGGAACCAAATCAGGGGGAATCCTTGGAGGAAATCCATTTGTAAGTTTGCTTGATTTAAACAAAAAGTGAGAAATGAAAAGTTGATTGTGGTGTATTAACAAATCAGGTCAGACAACCCAAGGTTTAGTGATCTTCTCATCTTTCTCATGAATTTAATGACTTTGATCAGTAGCTATGTTCTAAAGAGAAAAAAGAAGTTGGTCAGAGTACTGCGAACTTTAATACAAGTATTATTGACATTATCGCCAACTTACAAATTATTTATAAGTTGGTGATAATGTCATTCTCCCTGGCAGCAATAACTGTGAGGATGCTAGCCAGGGGGCTTGCCATTTATTACCTGCAACAGAGAGCTGGCCATTTTGCTGGGGTGTCATTTTCAAAATCTTAATTGGTTTTGGTGGGTCATTTTCAGATAAGGGAGCATTGCCTGGGGTCATTTCAATAAATTTTATAAAAGTAATTTACAAAGCAATGACGAGCATGAATTGAAATTGAACCTAACAGCCATAACTAGTAAACATTTATCTTGTAAATATGACTGTATTCACGGTGAACTTCAGTGTGATTTGTAGCTTCAATATTTGTAGTTTCCTCAGAATTGTGTGGGAGTCACTTTCACAATGTAAAATTTATGGCGGTTCATTTCTGAAAAGCAAGGGTAAATTGGAGGGTCAGTTTGAAAATCTTCAAACCTCTCTTAAAATGGTCAGCCTGCCCTCAAAGACAAAGGTAATAAATGACCAGCCCCCATATACATGTCCCAAGACCAAGATCTGTTCATATTCATATTCATATTCATACACTATTTACAGGTCGCCACATGCATTACAACACCTGAAGGTTATCCCTATATTAAGATCTCCACTTACAGATAACCCACCCAGCCCAGGAAAGGTTGACCTCACCACTGGGGTCTACGTCCCCTACTCTTTTTCAACAGTAGTGTGGGTTCTTTTACGTCCCACAAGAACCAGATAAGTGTAAGTGCTGTGAGACGGGACCTATGGTTTTTCATCCTTATCTGAGAAAACTAGAAAGTCTAACCATTTGCAGATGTCATCACAAATGCAGCACTTTCTTCTCAGTTATGTAAAGACCCTGAGGTTTGGTCTGGCCGGGATTTAAACCCGCGAACTCCCTCTCAGCAAATCGGTGCTCTCCCAATAATTTAACAACAATTAGTTGTTCTATACAATCTCACCACAGTCTGTTTTAGGAGTGAATTCCATGTCTAACACATACTGGCCATCATTGCCAAAGAAGGGTCAATATATTTTTGTTCTTAATTTCAACAGTCCAACTACATTAAAGCCAAACCAACAGTGATCATGCCTGAAAGTGGACAAGGAATAAGGTGTTTTATGGTTCTCAGCATTTGAAAGTTATTTTAGATAAAGCATTTTAATTTTTAACTCTTTAGATTTCATTGTCATAAATGGATTGTGATTGCTTGTATGGATATTATGTACCAAAAGCACAACTGTTGTGCATGGCATGGTGGCATGGAGGGATTTCAAAGCACCAACAACCAACAAAATGCATCAACTACTTTGCTGCCAGAAATTGAGTACTTTTTTCCCCTAAAGAAACAGCAACTAGTTTTAATGTGCATTTTTGTATTCAGTGTGGTCCCCAGAGTGCTAAATATGGCATCCTACAGCTTTAGGGTACCACGCCCCCAGACCTCACTAGAAGAAGGGGATTAACGACCCTCTGTTTATACAGTCAGTTGTTCTATTCAAACCTGCTGGCTACTTCAATTCGTAGGGACATACTTGCTGTTTGGGGAAGCACCTCATATTAAATGTACCCTCCTCCTCTTTTGGGGGAAGAATTCCTCTTCCCTTCAGAAATGTAAAAATTATTTTACCTTTTTCTTGAGTAGTTTTAAAGATGTAGCTGGAATGGAGGAGGCCAAGCTTGAGGTGATGGAATTTGTGGATTATCTAAAGTCACCTCAGAGGTATTCAGAACTGGGAGCTAAAATACCCAAGGTATTTTAATAATTCTTGTTTAATTTTCTTTGTTTGTTTGTTTGTTGTTGTTTTTTTTTCAAATACCATTTTAACCCATTCCCTCCTAGACTGACGGTGGGTACAAGTTAAGGGCTGGGCATCAGGGATTTCCTCCGGCTACTCTACTCTCTGTGTGTGACTGCCGGCTACTTTCATAGAAAACAGAAGGAAACAGAACCAAAAGATGACTTCCTAGTTGTTCAATTTGCTGCACGCTAGTTGCGTGTATTTGGTAACTTCAAATGTTAGTGACAGTCGTGTTGCAAGAACTTATTTTGTCCCTAGTTTACATAATTCTAAACAACAAGTCCATTCTACAGTTTTATAATTGTGTCTTTGGAAAAGATTTTTTTATACTGTCCAATGGTGCATTGTCTTGTTTCTGGCCTATGTATATCACTAACAAATAGCATCGTGTAAAATCGCCTTTAAATTTTAGACTTATAATGTGCTTACAAGTTTTTGTCATTTCTTAAGGGGGCTCTCCTTGTTGGCCCACCAGGAACTGGGAAGACACTGCTCGCGAAAGCAGTAGCAACTGAAGCAGATGTGCCTTTCCTGACTATGGCTGGCTCAGATTTTGTGGAAGTCTTCTCAGGTGTTGGCTCAGCTAGAGTCAGGGACTTGTTCAACCGAGCAAGGAAGCTTGCGCCGTGTATTCTGTACATTGATGAAGTCGATGCCATTGGACGGTCAAGAAGAGGAAAGTGAGTTTACTTCCTAAATTGCGGTTGTTTCGCGGTCGTTAGAAACATGGATGATGATCCCCTTCCCCACACCCTTTACACACATTTCTTTTTTAACTTTTCGACATGGGTTCATCACTACCTAACTGCAGTAAAGTTTTGAAAAGGTGGGAAGATTTTGTCCACAAAGTCCCATATAGAATAGTGCAAAGGGTTATCACTGCCTTGTTATCACTCAGGCAATTGTTTTTTCTTTTAGTTCTATAGGTGGGCACAATGAACAGGAAAATACTTTAAACCAACTGCTGGTCGAAATGGACGGTAAGTTGAATAGATATCAATATTTTCTTGTCCTTGCAGAATGCAGGACATTTTGTAAATGTAAATGTAAATGTAAATATCATATCATATCAACTCCCCTCAAAGCTTTTCAGGGAACACTGGTTGGGGGACTTTGCCAGACTGCTTAAGGTGCAGTTTACAAGTAATGAAGGAATGAGTGATGATGTCCCCATACATGAGTGTGAAAGTGAGATAAACCACTACACTGAGCACTACGTGCTTTACTCTTTACGAAGAGTGTGTGGGTTCTTTAACGTCCGACAGATGTTTTATTACATGTGCAAGGGCTTGTGAGACGGAGCCTACGATTTATCGTCCTGGAAAGTCAAACCGTTTGCAGATGTCATTACAAAGGCAGCACTTTCTCCTCATTTATTTAAAGACCCTGAGTGCTGGTCCGGCCGGGATTTGAACCTACAGCCTCCCACTCAGCAGACCGGCGCTTATGCCATTGAGCTAACCGGGCAGCGGTTTGTTACGTGAACCTTCTGAAATGTCCTTAGCTCCCACAAGTCTGCTGTAGTTCTGAGTGGTAGAGCATGTGGACTGATAGTGATCAGCAGGTCATGCGTTCCACTTCGTTTGGGAGAACTTTACAATTTTTTTTCTGATTTGTCTCAGCGTCACTAGTGAGCTTAAGGAGTAGGGAGGTTAAACAACCGCAACGACAGCGACACCAACGAGGACGTAAAAAAAACAGGGTTGATTACCATTTTCACAAACCAACCCGTTGGAAATCTTGCGCATATAACATAAAACTATAAATTTTGATGTGATGGGAAAACGAACCGCTACAAAGTATATCGCGAAGCGCGAGACGAGGGGAGAAGAAAAAATAAAGCGCCTTCAACCAGTCGATCAAAAACCACCATGTTGGAAATCTTGTGCATAAACATAAAACTATAAATTTGATTTGATGGGGAAACGACCCGCTACATAGTATATCGCGAAGCGCGAGACGAGGGGAGAAGAAAAAATAAAGCGTCTATAACCAGTCCATCAAAAACCACCCGTTGGAAATCTTGTGCATAAACATAAAACTATAAATTCTGACATGGTGGGAAAACGACCCGCTACAAAGTATATCCAAATCAGCTAAATAGTGGAAAAACTGCATCGCCGCTAAACCAGCCCAGATTGACGACGGTGAGGGCGGCGAAAACGTCACTTGTAAAGTGAATTCGCGCTGTTTCAAACTGCATTATTTTTACTCCGCCTCGTTCAATTTGTCTAATTTTTGCTAATTTCTTTTGTAGTTAAATTCTAAAAGGCTGTATCTGAGTTTAGGCAAAGTAAAAGAAAGCCGTTGTGAAATTAAGAACTTTCACGTCGTAGTAGTGCAGCGACGACGAAGAAATGTTCGAATAAGCGTGGTGCACGTGCAAAGATGTTGTTTATTTGCTGACTCTTGACTAAGGGCCTGTTTACACAGAGGTGGGTACCCCATGTTGACCAGGGGTAGGTGAGGTAACCCACCAAAGGTAACCCGCCTGTCCATATAATCTCCCTTTTTAATTTGTTTACGTTTACATGATAGGTGGGGTGACCCGCCGCAGGTTACCTCATGTAAACTGGTCCTTAAATAGTCTATATGTATTTTTGTTGTATTCGTTTAGGTATGAACACAATGGAGGGTGTGGTGATGCTGGCTTCTACCAACAGACATGATATCCTAGATCAGGTAGGTGACTTCTGATTTAGCTGTCTGACCTGTTTGACTTTGACTGTTTGACCGGCTGAAAGATTTGACCGGCTGCTTGGTTCACACGGAACCGATCGATATTTTCGCTCTGATCAGTCCGACCTTTGAATAGTCTGCTACCCAGCATTGCGTGACGACACTAAAAACGGCTGTGTAGCAGACTAACCTTTGAACGGCTATATGTCTAAATTATCGAAGGGGTAAGGTGGTCCCAGTGTGAACGCCGCTCATCAATATGTACCTCACCTCGGAGAAAAACGTCTGTAGAAATGTGACGTCAGGAATGTGGCGCTTTCTCGAAGCGTGTTGGAAACGGAAAACACGTGCTTTTGCTTTAAACCAAGTTATGTAACCAATCTGTTGTTTAGCGATGAGTTGTCATATATTTTTTCTGATAAATTCATGAAATAAGCACCACAGCAGTAAAGTTACGTCACATTGACTCCATCAACCCCTAAAATTAAAGTCCCCCAAGATCAGAGTGACCAACATCAATTATCTCCCAACAACATTAAATTCTTCGTCAAGAGGAAAGGTGTTGAAAATGATTTAAATGATCACCAAAGGGAAAATGCTTTGATCTTTCATCAAATTCTCTCCACCGTTTCCTAAGGAAATGTATAGAGATACCTGTGGAGAAGTTGTGTGTGAATATTGGGGCTTAAAGTGTTAGTAATAGTTAAACGTTTTTTGCAGGCCCTCTTGAGACCAGGAAGATTTGATCGGCACATCGCCATTGACCTTCCAACTCTGATAGAACGCAAGGCTATTTTTGAAGTCCACCTGAAGAAACTTACTCTTAAGATGCCAGTAGACCAATACTCTAAGCGACTGGCCGAACTCACCCCCGGCAACAGCGGTGAGTGGTCGTAAAATGTATACTAAGAGGAGAGGGGCTGCTCTCCTATTTTGTTTCTAAGGGGTGGAGTGGGGTTGGGGCGATCAATCAATTTAGGTTTCTGGGAAACTCCCCACCTACCCCTTTCCTAAGCCAACATTTTCCCTTAAGTGAGAAGTTAGTGTTTATGTTGGCTTAAGGGAGGGGTAGGTGGGCAGTTTCCCAGAAACCTAAAATATAAGATTGGACTACAGAGGCTGGAGCATACTTTTCGTTCGACGGACTCAGAAATACGCGAGACTGCCCGTTGACTAACTGATGAAGTGCAGTTTATGTTTTCTTTTCTTCCAGGTGCTGATATAGCTAATATTTGTAACGAGGCAGCCTTACATGCTGCTCGCTTAAATGAGAAAACTGTCGATCAGCGAAATTTTGAATATGCAGTGGAAAGAGTTATCGCTGGTAAGTTTAAATACCTACTGTGAACATAAATCCAGCTTGATCTGGGTTTATGTGCTGCCCTGAATAATCTGGGTGAGACTTTTTCCGGTCCGTGGTAAGACATTTAAATACTGCCCCTCGATGAGTCACAAATGTCGCAATTGACCACCTTCCATAAGGAATACGTTTACGTATATGAATTGTAATTTACTTGCTAGAGAGGCGACTGTAATTATCGTTGCTCTCACATTGGACTGACTTTTATTATGTCTGAATTTCAGGAATGGAGAAGAAAACCCATACCATGTCACCAGAAGAAAGGAAAATAGTCGCTATCCACGAGGCTGGGCATGCTGTTGTTGGATGGATGTTGGAACATACTGATCCACTACTCAAGGTGACATTTAACAATTAGTTCATGCGTATGTCAAGATATTGAGCACGCGGGAAGTTTGTAGAGCACGAATGAGCCGTAAGAGTTGTTCAAGGCGCGGCCGAGAGCAACTCTAGCCTCTAGCCTCTTGCCAAGTCATTTGCTTTTCTCCCAACGTAGGTATCCATCGTTCCACGTACCAATGCAACCCTGGGATTTGCTCAGTATCTTCCATCAGATAACAAACTCTACAGCACTGAACAGGTAAGCCGGAATAAGAGAGTATTAAGTATTCGTTTGATGGTATAGTAAATACATTGGCACTTTTTTCATGCAGCTCTTTGATCGAATGTGTATGGCTCTTGGTGGACGAGCTGCGGAGGCCAAGATTTTCAAGAGAGTTACTACAGGTATAAGGAGTTATTTCATGATCACTGCGTTTTGGCGATTTGTATTTGTTTGTGTGGCTCAAAATCTTCCTCTTTGTAGGAGCTGAAGATGATCTTCGCAAAGTAACTGACATGGCTTACAAACAGGTGAGAAATTCTCCGAATTCTTTAATTTAATGACCTTTTTACATTTTGCTTCCAGCCAACTTAATTTACGGCATCTCTACGTGTTACCTTCTTAAGCTCATTTGTCAGTCGGAAAACTACCGCTTTCAGACCACATGTCCTCAAAAGATTGCCCATTAAGTTTATTCTGTTTGTTTATCAAAACACGCGAAATCTTTACAAAAGGCCGTAAAAGAAAACTGGGGATCACGCGCGTCTCATTTTCGCGGCACATAGCTTTAGTGAAAACGTGTTAAATTTGCGCGACTGCGAAGATGACCCCCATTCTCGATTTTGACCCACAACATAAGAAATCGTCAGTCGACTACAGTAATAGGGTGAAAGAGTGGTATTTAAATTACAAACCAAAGAGGATAGTGTTGGCATGGACATTGATGTTGTAAAAACTGGCTTTTGAAGCTGTAAATTCTTAAGAAACGCGCAAAAATAATAGCTTGTATAGACGGTTTTAATTTTCCTATTTTAAAATTCATTTTGCTCTTCTTTTTCTGTAGGTAGTGACGTTCGGTATGAGCCCCCGGGTTGGTAACATTTCATTTCCTGTTATGAAACCAACTGAACCATCCAAGAAGTTTTACAGCGACAAGCTGGCTAGGCTCATGGACGAGGTACAGTCCTATGTTATGTTATTTTACGTTTCCTCTAGGCAACACTTGACTGTTGTATCCCGTCAACTTAGTAAAAGGCGCGTGCAGCGAAGCGCTGGAAAGCATTAACCTGGTTACTGCAAGGCTCAAAATATCGTCCGGTCAGCGGACAAGTTCGGCCAACGAGACCATTTGTCCGGAAGAACCTTCGGTTTGCTGGTCATTTTGACCGGACACAATGACATAAGTAAGCGACTAGCGAAAAAGCATTTTCACACTATCACGTTTCAAGAGGGCAAGTATCTTTTTTCAGTTTTCCTTTTTTTTCGTTCAAGTTATTATCGTGTTATTTTTAACGTTTTGATAGGTCAGAAGAGAGACGTGACCGAGCTAAAATTTATTTGGCCGGTAAACCCGACCGGCAACATTCCCAAGGATTTTTATTGAGCCCTGCGATAACAAGCGAAGGGGGAAAAAAGAAACCTTTAGAAAAAGCGGGAAATTTTGTACCGATTCTACTGTGCGGGAAAACATGTAACAGGCGCTGAGTGCAGGAATGCGAGTGCGTCGCCAACAGTACGAAACGCGCGAAAAGATGCCGTTGTCGCCAAATGAAGGAGTTGAAAGTGCAAAGCCCGAGAGAACAAACAATCGGTGCCAAGTGCAGGAAATGCAACTGGTGTAAAGCGCGAAAACAAAGGTGGAACCACTGACAAGACCAAAAACGTTTATTCCGATTGGTTAGTTGCAAAATTGATGTTTATGCTGTTTTGTATTTTGCAGGAAGTTCGTATGTTGGTTGGAAAAGCATTTCGGCAAACTGAAGTTATTCTTGACGCTAATTTGGGGAAACTAAACGCTGTAAGTTTGCTTCATCTCAGATCAGTGAAAGAAGCATCTGAGCACTGATAAATTCTGGTGAAATTGTATTTTCCACGCGCTCATTGCCCCTGGGAATAAGCGTAGCTTTTGGACATCGAAACTGCCACCACAATCTTAGCGTGAAATTGAAAAAGATGAAATAAATAGCAACACTGCGAAGTTGCTAACTATTGTTTAGTATACTCCGTGTGGAGGGAGAATGAGTACAAGCGAAGCGAGGCACGTGAGGAAATAACGGCAGAGAAGCCCTCCTTGTGCGCTTCAACGCACAAGCTTAGATTCCTTCAGCTTTAATTTGCTTGGACGCATTATGAGGTTTACATAGCGAAGTATTTGTTATCGCTTTTATTTTTACAGTAGAAGGTATTCATCTCGTTGGGAGGGAAGTTAAGAAAATAAAGCGTCGAGTAACTTAGTAACCGTGGTTTATTTACTAGGGACTTTAAGATAGGTCACTACGGTCGCCTGGGACGGTT